GTGACTCCAATAAAATTATCGTCGCGATGCATCTGCAAAGTTTCCACCAAGTCGCAAGAGTCAGTCTACTTTCAACAACAACAACAACAACAACAACAACAACAATTCTACATAATCCGAGAGTTTTATATGTTGTATATAAATATAAATTTATCCCGAATATATATATTTATACATTATTTATACTTGGTAGGAGTCCAGAACACCGACATGAAAGAATTTATAAAGTACAATTGGTAAATTGCTGGTAAAGAATTTCTCGGTTAAACTTTGTTGATTTTATTGTTGATACAAGGGTATATACCCCCTGATAAAAAATTAAAACAATTGTAAGGCTGTTGATATAATAAATGTCTGTACATGATGTGTTTGACATTACACTCATTCCGTTTCCGATTCTTGACACATTTGTATGTAGTCGTACACAAATAAAATACCAGACGTATAAATATAACCCAATTTAACATTTTCCGGAAATGACGCAAACAGGTCACGATTTTATTTTAATCAAATTAAATTAAATATAGTATAATATTATCGATTTATAGATTTATATATTTAACTGTCGGAAAAAAGTAATTAATGACATGGATATGTCTTACTTTGAATCGATTTATTTTATATTGAATATATCCGAGGGAAAAAATCTCAAAGGCTTTGTTTAATATTAAAAATTTAGTTATTGAATTGTTTTTGATAAAAATTTAAATCCTCGCGAAGAATTTCCAATGAAATATGCCGGATAAAATTCTTTAGACTGTATAGTAAAAAAGTAGATTCCTATTGGCTTATCAAAGTTAATCGGTCTTTATTTTTACATCAGTCACGCTGACTCGTAATTTTCATATAAATGTTACAAGATGAGTAGTCTTGTCGGAGACACTCAAGGATTTGCTTCAGTTTTATCGGAAACTTTTTTTTTTAAATCGTTCAAACTCTGTCTCATTTCTCCCCCGACGCTCGCAAGAGTTTTCTTTGCAAATCCCGCGTCGATCCCCTAAGGATACAAAAAAAATTTATATCAAGGAAGAAAGAATAAAAGAAATGAAAGGCTGTGTCTAAAAAGAGAGCGTGAAAGAAAATAATAATAAAAAGTAAAAAAAAAAGAAATTTAGCTTAAAAGCCACCGCAAAACTATGCGGGAGAAAAATTCATCAAGGCTGGCAGAGCTATCGGCTGTACGTCACTTTTGATATGATGTTACAGCCGTTTGTTATATAAGATAAATTGATGTAAATTGACTACGATGCAATTTAAAAGTTCCGAGTCGGCTTCACTCAATAATAACAAAAAAATAATAAACTTTTATTACACTTTTAACTGTTTTTTGATACATACATTCTTTTTTTTTTTTTTTTTTTTTTTTTTTTAATTAATAAAAAATGCAAGTATTGAAAAATAATAAAAAAAAACTTTAAGCAGACTTTTTTTTTCTTCTAATCAATTGCATAAAAAAAAGAGGTGAATTTAAAATAGTAATTATTAAATTCTCTCTCTTTTCTCGCAGAAAATTACTTTTTCATTTAAAAGCGGATATAATTATTTTATTACTACAAAAGTCGATTAATTTTTTCAATTTAATCCTATTATTGCAAAAGCCACAGCTATTGTCTGTAAAATTTTGATTGATTTCTGTATTTTAACTAAAAAAATAAATTTTATCTGGATATAACCCATTAAATTACGTAATAAATTTTTGATATACAGTGTGGGGAAGCTATTATTAATTTTATAAAAATGAATCGTTAATTCTCAACCTTTTTAATTTTATCAATAAAAAGAATAGATTTTACACGAATCTCTAGAATCAAACAGGACAATTAAAAAAGCATTCGGTCTCTCAATTCCCGTGGAGAATGATGGAAAAAAAAGGATCCGATAACACCCCCCGTGTCCCATTGTTCAAAACCCGTAGGCGTCATTAAGAGCGGACAATGCAAAAAGCGAATGAAAATGCCACGCGAGGCCATTATCACCTTCACTCGATTTTACAACTCTTTCTCTAAATTATCCACACATTAATTGTTGCCGCTACTGGAGAAAAATTTATCAATTTAAATCTTTTTATTCCATTATATTATTATTATTATTATTATTATTACTCTAAATATCTACTATATCTTCTGTATGCTGTATATAAATAAATCCCTGTACTTAAGATTTTTATTATAGAGAAGAGTAATAAAACCCTGGTGAAGCACCTGGGAGTTACTGAAGAAAATTAACATTTTTTTTTAACAAAAAAGTAAATAATCCTCAAACGGTGTTTTCATACTATTGTATACTGAGTTAGTGAGTTTTCATTTTTACTATTATATAAAATACAACTCTGACAGGAGTAAAATATAAAGACAGGGAGAGATTAATTTATTTTTTAGTTGTCTTCTTTTTTTTGTCTAAACGTTCATACGTAGTTTCAACCCGAAAATTCGTTTTCCCAAGTGCCAGAGCACGTCTAACGAATGGATATCCAAGAGCAGTAGCTACAAAAAATCATCTCAAAAATAAACAATGAAAGTACATTTTGTATATAAAAGTAAGTATATATATATAAAGTACACACTAGGTATAATAGGATTTAATAAAGGGTTGGCTTATCGCCGTGTACTAACTATCATAAAATAATATAATGTTTAAGACTATGACGATCCAGTGTGTAAGAGTATGATAAGTGTAAGGATATAACATTCGCGTGGCCACAACCCCCAGTGTGTCATCGTATACTTCTACACTTACAAACGGTTATGGCACCTATTCAAACATGCATATATTTAGCATACATCGTATAAAAGCACGTTTAGTCAGAAAAAAGGAACGAGGGGTTTAGTTCTTTGACGTGTGCGTATAATACAGCTAGCTCCACTCCTGAAGAAAAAGACCCTCTAGTTCAGTCAGCTTAAAAAGAAGAACCAGAAGATAATTTCCAAAGATGAAGGTGAAGAAGAATAAGAAGAAATAAAAGGAGGATGCTGGTGGTGGTGGGAGTAATTTAGAGGGTTCGCTGGAGAAATTTCTGGTAGAGAGAAACAGAGGTGAGGTAATAAGGAATAAGGTATGTATGTACCTTGTTCTCTTCTGGTTCTGTTGAGCTTCTCCGGTGGTTCTCTTTACTTTTAGTGTGATATGTCTCTAAACAGGTAGACGAGTATGCGCTGTTTGTTATGGGAAGGCGCGCTCACCTAACGATCGCCCAGCGAAAAGACCCGAAATCACACGGAGTTTGATGCGTCGACGTACTATTCGACGTCGACGTCGTCGTGAGTTTGGTACGCGGGGGTCCCTATCTACTATCTCCTATCCCACATCGCACAACATACAGAGTGTAGAGTACAGACCAATACTCACATTTACTTGGCACGTCGACGGCCGAGGAGATACAACAACGACGTCGTCGACAACCACCGTTAAACCACCGCACTAGTGTTAACGTTACGTTAACGTGCTTTACCACTGACACTCATCAGACTCGGTGTATTTTACAGTTTTGGTTTCTGTTTCTCTTTCCGTTTTATTATGTCAGTGGTGTAGATCAGGATCGACGCTGCCGGGGCTCCTTTACCTGAAAAATATTTATTAGTTAGTAATAATCAAACCGGGGGTGAAGTTGTAAATTAAATAGTAATTAATAAAGCGGTAAGTCGGTTGGTTGGTTGGTGCAGTATAAAGTTCAGTTGGGGGTAAAATAAAGGGTTGAAAATCCCAGTGACACGTTACAGAGAAAACGTCTACTCTAGTTGTCTACTCGAACGGTGTACAAAAAGCACTCTCGGGGTCTGGTGAATCCTCAGAGTAGTAAGTGTGAATTCAGTCAGCATACTGTCAATGTGTTAATGTGAGTTCCAAGTGCATTTTGCCGGGAGAACGGAAGTTCATTTGCCAAATAACAAAAAAACGAGAACGAGAGAAAGGAATAAAAGTAGAAAACGAAAAAAAAAAAAAAAAAGAAAAAAGAAACAGAGTAATGTGTATTATTGTGTGGCTGAGAGCTCAGAACTCAGTATAGAGTAGCAAGACAATAGCTAAGTGTCGTACCTATCATCATCGTTTTCCTCTCTCATGTGTCCAGTGATCTGTTGAAGAGAAAACCAAAATATATATATATATATATTATTATTTTACAATAATTATTACCAACCCATTTATCGTTACAGTATACAAATCGATTCTATCCAATCAACCAGTCTTTTAACTTGACACAAGTTGGTTTATTGAAACTTCCAAGACTTTGTAAAGGATTATCAAGTGTGTAACGTAATGTGGAGCTTCAAGACCCGTATTTCAGACAATAACAATAATACCAAGAGTGATTAGAGAAGCACACGTGTGTGGAATTATTTAAGTGTGCTAGGAAAATTTATTTGCTGGTGGGTGGTGGTAGTAGTAGTAGCGGCGAAGGGTCAGCCGTTTTATTGCTACTGACCAGCCGATGCGATATGATCCAGATAGATGAGGGAATGGATCCACCACCTAAATCCTTACCAACAACTGCTTGTAGATCACATCTCAATAATCACGAGACGTTTGACTTGAGGGACCCTGCTACTGGACATTAAATTCAGCTTATTCGTCTATTTCTTATCATCATCATCATCCTGCATCGTCATCAGTTATTATCTTATACCAGTAGAAGAAAAATAGGGAGATTGTAAGTCGCGATTTTGGGCAAGAAAGTCCTAGTGTCTTGTAGAGGGTCAAGGGATCTAAATTCCCTTCCCGCGAGAGTCGTGGAATGACAATAAAGAGGCGACAACGACCCGGGCAGGAGTCGTTATTCGCCGGTACTTGTCACATCTGAGAGAGGAGAAAGAATTCTCCTCTGGTTTCTTTCTGTCTCTACTCTAACTCTTGACTTTTCTTCTTATTTTTTATTATCATTGGTATAATTATTTTTATAAAGTTTTTAACCTGAACCTTAAGCTCAAGTTTATTTGCTGGTGCTGGTGTACTGGTTCTGATACTGTTGGTGCCTTAGACTAGGCGAAAAGATTGACCACGTTGGGATGGCATTTGGTGAGAGAGTAATCCTCAGGGGAGTTTACTTCTTCGTTGTCCTCTTTTTTTGCGTTAACGCCGACGAAAACTGGGACAGAGATGACGATCCAAGTAAGTGTTATTATTATTTTTTAGTATCAACCATCAAAATGATAATAAACACTTAACTTTTTATAATGGTTAATGGAATTTTTTAATAACTTTTACGATGCAATTATTTAGTATCGACTTCGGAAGTCACTGCAGTGCTGGGTAAAAGTGCTTCATTACCCTGTGACATCGAACCGTCCACGAGAGGCGACGGAGTCTACATGATCTTGTGGTTCCGCGACAATGCGGTCAAACCGATCTACAGGTGAGAATGACATTTTAATCAAGTCCCTTATTCCCCTAGCTTGTTCACTTTATAACCTAAAACAAAACAATTGTAATAAAATAAAATAACCACAAACTTTATTGATGATAATAATAATAATAAAATTGTTATTTTTATTATTAATAGCATTGATGCCCGTGGAAGGTCTTTTCACCGGGCACTGAATTGGTCGGACGAGGATGTACGACCTCGTGCAAACTTTGTGACAATATCTAAACCCGCTGCCCTCATTCTCGATAGCATTCAGCTCTCTGACGAGGGTATTTATCGATGTCGTGTCGATTTTCGAAAGTCACCTACCCGAAACTTTCAAGTTAATCTCACTGTCACTTGTAAGTAAAATACTGTACTTTTTAATACTTATTAAATCAGTATTACCTTTTTCTTCTTTTATATATATATAATCTCTTCTTAAAGTTAACCAGTATTAGCAGCTTAAGCCAGTATATACAAGGCTTAATTATTAGTTTATTAGTTTACCTAACTGGTATCAATCATTAATTATATCTCCAATTAATCTTGGTAGATCCACCACGTGAACTTTTGATGTACGACACTTCTGGGAGGAAAATAGACACTGTGGTTGGTCCTTATCAAGTTGGCAAAGAGTTCAAGTTATCTTGTGAAGTTAGAGGGGGTAAGTCAGCATAATCATCAAAATTAAAGTACCAGATATTTAATAATTTTTTTAAGAAATAAATTAGATTAAAAAAATTGATATGTAGAAATTTTAAAAAATTAAAAATGTAATTTTTAAAAAATAATTTTTTGGAACAAATTTATTTGTTAGAAAAAAACTAAAAAATAATCAAGCGACTGCTAACTTATTTAATGTCATCATGCATAATCACATTTATAATAATCTATAAAATATATTTTAAATTCAATGTAATATCTGTAAAAATAATTATTTCTTCTTTCTGACAGGAAAACCACCTCCAGTTATCACGTGGTTCGCTAACGGAAAAGAGACTGATGGACACGTGGACACCAACGGGCAAAATGTCATCTTCAGCACGCTCATAGTGCCGAAGTTAACGAGAGAACACCTTAATACTACGTACAAGTGTCGAGCCACCAGTACCAAACTCGTCCCACCATTAGAGAAGACTGTCTTACTGGACGTCTATCGTAAGAACTTGACTCATCATTACTACAAAAACTTTTTTCCCGATACGACAGTTTGATGCTTTATTATTATTTTTAAGTAAATTGTTTATTTAACGTCAGTTACTTTTATCAACTCCAATTAGTTGCAATTATACCTAGTGTGTGTGTGTGTGTGTGTGTGTGTGTGTGTGTGTGTGTCTGTGTCAATTAAATTATTGTTTTATTGAGCATTGGGTGAAATAATGATTTATTGTTATTATTTATAGTAAAACCCGAGAGTGTGACAATAGTGTCAAAGCCTTCGCAATTGGTGTCGGGTGAGCTGTACAACCTGAGCTGCGAAGTAACTGGATCTCATCCAAGGGCAAAAGTCCATTGGTTAGAGGGTAATGAAGAATTTAAAAGCGGAAGCATTATAGAGCGTAGTAATTCAACGGTAGTGTACAGTACATTGGAATTTTATCCAACACCCGAAGATCACCGTAAACAGTTGAGATGTCGAGGAGACAATCCAGCACTGAGCAATGCTTTCATTGAAGATTCTTACCACTTGAATGTCGTCTGTGAGTTTAATTTCATTGAATTAATGGAGTGTGCGCCCCCTTGACCCCCATCTTCTATCCATTCGTTTGCTCTTTTTTTCTATGAATATAAATTGAGTATAAAAATTCTAATTTTAATCCCTCTGCAATTTACTTTTATTTTATTTTATATTATTCAACTTTTAAGAATTATATTTGTTAAATATTATTTCTTCCTTTAATATATAAAAATTAAACTCCGGTAAATAAGATTAAATTTATTGATTAAAGTGTTGAATTATAAATTTAATTTTTTAGTTCCACCGAAAGTCCAACTGGAAATTGGCAACACACTTAATGCTCAAAATATTAAAGAAGAAGATGATGTTTATTTTGAATGTAAAGTCCGTGCCAATCCTGAGCATAATAGAATAACTTGGAAACACAATGTAAGTTATAATAATAATAATTATTTATCATTAAAATAATTATTATAAAAATATTTATCCCTAGGGAATAACTTTGATGCAAAATCCGACCGCTGGGATTGTCATGAGCTCTCAGAATCTGGTGTTGCAAAAAATAAAACGGGAAAACGGTGGAAATTACACTTGTCTGGCGAGTAATGACAGGGGGGAAACAACTAGTTCAGTTGTACCTCTACGAGTTCAATGTAAGTATTAATTAAACCTCTTATTTAAATTGTTTTTTTTTTTTTTTTTTTTTTGGACATTTGTAAATGAAAATTAAGTTAGTCGACATCTGAAAATTTTTAGAATTTTTTTTTATTGAAAAAATTATTTTAAAAAAAATTTTCATTTGTAAAGAACTTGAAAAACTGTAAGTGCAATTTTTAAAAAATATATTTTTGTTCTAATTTAATTAATAAAAAAAAATTAAAAACGTCGGCTAACTTATATTTAGTCATTTGTGATTATGCTACCTCTGATCTTTCTTATCAATAACATACAAAATTAAAAAAAAATAATTTAAATAATAATAATATTATTTGTTTCAGTCGCTCCAGTTTGCAAAACGAAAGACGTAACAATAATAGGAGCGTCTATGGATGAATCTGTAAAGATTAGGTGCGAGGTAGACGCTGATCCAAATCAAGTTGACTTTACATGGGAATTTAACAATAGCGGTGAGAATTTTGAGCTTGCACCCGCCAAGTTTGACGGTAACAACGGCACAGCCAGTGAATTCCTCTACACGCCCATGTCTGAGCGCGATTACGGTGCATTGACCTGCTGGGGAAGGAATGCGATTGGGAAGCAAAAGACGCCGTGCGTCTACCAAGTAATTCCAGCAGGTATGCGCGACCTATTGGCCCCTTTTGTTCCTATACCATCGATCATTTTTATATATTCTCATTCTCATTCTCCTTGTCTTCTCCATTCACCAATCAAACTCTTGTATTTTTCCTCACTCTAGAAATTTTAATCATTATTATTACCTTTTTTTTCTTCTTTTAATTTCAGTAAAACCAAGTCCAGTTAATAATTGCACTTTGAAGGCATTATTGAATCAAACTCTTGAGAGTCTGGACGTTGAATGTGCCGCTGGTTACGACGGTGGTTTACGACAAGATTTTCGTCTCGAGGCTTATGAAGCCCAGACAAACTTACTGAGGGTAAACATCTCGAGTATCAGTCCCGAGGCACCAGTATTTCGTATCCCTGTGGCTGATCTTCTGCCAGCCAATCATTTTTATCTGATGGTATACGCGATTAATGCCAAAGGAAGAAGCGAAGTGTCCCTTCTGGAAGATATTATACTGAGAGATTCTGGAAAACAAACTGGTAATAATTTATCACTTGGCTATTTAGATTGATGAGAATGATTAGAAATCCCTTTACTTTACTTTACGAAATCTTTTTATTCTCACACTCTCATTAAAGTCATCTTAAATTTCTTTTTTTTTTTTATTCTTTTTTCAGCTTTTGTAACTTAATACTTAAGTATTCTTTTTGAACATACACAGATACCGGAGTCAGTTTCATCCCTCTTTTATTGCTGCTCATTGGCTGTCTTATGACCCTTGGCATAACCGTTCTCTCGGTGATGCTCATGTTCTACAGAAGACGAGGTACTACATCGCCTGTACACGTAGAGCCTTACATGAAACAACCAATCATAAGTCCTCCAGACTCAAGGAATAACTCGATGCTTGATGTCACACATGGTGATCATACGTATTTTGTAGAGTATACTTTAAAACAAGTGGGAGACTACGCGCTCAATCAACCTGATATCATTCAGTCTCCTCAAGGTATACTATTATAATCTGTAATATATCCATAAATACATATCATTATCATTATTCATAAAATCAACAGTAGAAATAATATACAACTTTGTCTCTATAAATTTTTTTAAAAGTACAGAAATTATTATACGGTTATCGGAAAAACTTTTCGAGCACACGTGCATTTTTAAATATTATGTTTGTTGCACTGCGCTCTATTTTTTAATTTATTCAATTTTTTTTTTTTTTTTTAACACTGAAGAAAGAGAACATGAAAAAGTTTAATCGATAACTCATATAAATTTTAATATAAAATTTATAACTCACAAGATATTATTTTTAAAAAAGCAATCGCGTCAATATTAATAAACTATTCATCTATTTACATATTTATAACTTCGAGTTAACGTAGTTATAATTAAGAAAACGGATAATTGAATATTAAACATTACTTATAGACCAAGAAAAAGTTAAACGAGAGCCACAGTTATTTTTACCGGTAAGGCCGGATACGCTGTTTGCTCCGTACGACATTCACAAGCAAGGCCTTCAGACAAATAAATGTACTGTAAGTATTTCAGGTATTGATTATTTATTTTTGAAGTAATTATTATTAAATGAAATAATTAAATTTCAGTTGAATCCATTTTCTACGAAATCATGGGAGCCCATTAGTTTCAAAGCGGATCGCAATATGATGAAGGAAATAATAATAGCTAATTCTATACCCGGTCCAGAAAGTTGCGTGTAATGATTATTTAAATAAATTGCATCGTCGTTTTTTACCAATAAAACATATCAGAATTTCTGAGAGTGGAAAAAAAAAAAATCACTCACAACGCACACGTTAATCAAGAAAAGACCAATCGATGTGCTTGAAAGTCATCGCAACGACTTTTTATCCGAACTCCGTCGTTAAAAGTAGAGAAAATGCGACTGAAAAATCTCAAGCTATGATATAATTAAAATAATTATTCAGTCACATTACTCAAAATTATCGTACACACGATGTACGGTACATGACTCCGAGTTTTAATATATTTTGTGTCAAGTCTTGATGATAATTTATTCCAATTATTACTTTGACACTAAAATCCTCTCGAGACTTGGAATTTTTAATTAAAATAAATAAATTTTACTTATTGTAATAATTTTTTACCATTGTCTATTAAATAATTCAATACACAATATATAATATATGTATAAAATATATATTCTAAGCCGTGAATTTTTTAAACGTCTTCAGTAAAATTTTAATTGAAAATCCCAAGTTCAGTCTTTTGTTTTACTGAGATATTGTATCACAAAAAATCGTAAGAGTAAAAAAACTTTATATTACAACCAACTATTTTATCTTCACTAATACAATTAATAATAATAATAACCATTATGATAATAACAACAATAATAATTAATTAATATAAAAAAAACGTTATTATTAAAAATAAACAGGTCGAGCAGGTGGTAATGTTATTTGAAATAAAGGATATCCACCAGCGCTGGTACAAATTGTTGCACCGAGTATTGCTCCGTAAATTACAGCCGCCCACAAGAGTAATCCGATCAACAGTATCATTAAAATTATTTTTTTAATTCGACATAAAAAGCTTAAAATACACATTACTACATCAAAACTAATTCTGATAAATTTTGGAATAGATGATGTAGTAGTAGTTGTTGTTGTTGTTGTTGTTGTTGTTGAAACCGGAGTGTCTGTTATTACATCTGTTTGAATTTTAGTAGTAGATGTTCCTCTGTCGGTTAAATCTGTAGCTTGAGTTGAAGTGGTCACTTGACTTGTTGCTTGAGTGGAAGAATCCATTGTCGTGCTCTCGGGCTGATCAAAATTTGATGGGGTGAATTCCGTGTAGTCCAACATAGTCGGAAGTGTTTCGACAGCAACAGATTGAGTCTTGGTAGCCGTGACATCTGATACTGACACTTGTGGTAGGGTTGATGATGATTGTGATAACGGGGGTGGATGAATAGTAACAACATTGTAAGGAGCGTATGATTTTAATGCATTTGAACCATGACTCATCTTAGCTGGGACTTTTGATGAATTAGCAGTATCAATTAAAGTTGAATTGCCAACCAGCTGCATGCGAGCTGTCGGTTGTTGATAACCACCAGCTGCTTTTGATCTCTCGAGCGTTGAATTCGAATAATTAGGTCTTGAAGATTCAGTGGTGTATTCTTGAGAAGATGCGGTTAATTGTCGACTACTCGTATGATCTATTAATTTACTTTCATGTGGATTTACAGACGACAAAGATGACAACTGAGTTGCTTTATTATTTACCGACTTGATTGATGATTTACTGCTTCCATAATAACTCGAGTAATTTCTCTCACGTAACTCCGACATACTCTGTAATTAAATAGTACGTTTAGTCTAATTCACTTTTTATTACTTTTCAACAACTAATTATAAAATAATGATAATAAATTGTTTTATATACTTTGAATCAAGACCTTTCTCATTTGATTGCGAACCAGATGAGTTACCCGGCATTTTAAGTGTTTCATTTTTACAATAAAATCGTCATTAGATGCTGTGACTTGGTCGATACTGTAATCGACGCACGTACATCCATAATATTCGCAACCACAATTGTCACTCATTATTACTTTTCATTTTCTAAATAAAAATACATATAAATTCATAGCTCACGATATAAATATTAATGTAGAATAAATTGTCAAAATTAACAACGTGAAAATAGTCAATATTAAATCATTTACTTTTTTGTTTTTGATTTATTTCAATATATTATATTGTTAATTTATATAAATATGTAAAAGCGAATAATTAACTCCGTGGCTTTCTTTCTGGTGGTGGTTTCATATCTCGCTTTTCAGTTTTTATCTCTTTCAGTGTTAAAATTTCTTGTTTAATTTCAGCAGCTGGAACTGATAAATAACAATTTAAATATTACGTATAAAAGTAAGAAAAAAATAAAAAAAATTTACCTGGTTGTTCAGCCGGCTGCTGTATAGGTTTAGGAGCAGGGGGTGGAAATTTGCGCGTAATTTCAGCAAGAAGCATATCGACCCTTTGTCTCTGGAACAATGAACTAGGCTCTTCCCTTAGGGGAGCTTCTTTCTTAGTCGACAGTGGTTTGCCATTTTTAAAGTCCCAAGAGTACCCTTTGCTCGGATGATACTTTGAATATGAACTAGATTCTTCGAATGCCGATTGCAAATGATGAATCGTCGAAAGTAATCGAGAATTAACAACAGAAGCTAGATCAGGTGCCTGGTAGACGGTACCAGCGATTACATAATAATCTGCTAGGGGAGTTACTTGGGTTGGTGAGTAACGATGCTGCTTTCGTATTACATATAAAATAGGATCTTGAACATGGAGCAACACATATTCACATCCTGTCATGTTTCTGCAATAAAATTGCTCATTATAATTTTTTTTTTTTATAATCAAATATACATAGAAGGATTTTTAATGCTTACTGAAGCTGATCAGGACTAAGCCGCTGCATTTTAACGGTCTCATTGTTGCAAGTGCTGTCGTAAAATGGATTACTACGTTCCGAAAAGTAATCCATTATATTTGTGGGATTTAAAACAGGTATCCATGCACTGTCGTGCCATGATAAACCCAATGGATTATCTGCAATAGGTTAGAATTATTTATTATTAATTATTTAGATAAATTCTAACAAGTTTATTTGGAGAAAATAATTACCTGACACTGGATGACGTCCTGGCATCATTTTGAAGTAATTTTTATTTAATTAATTCAACAGCTGATGTAAACAATAGTAACTTAAATTATTTTATATATTCCAAAGAAACATTTGCAAATTATCAGAAACTATTTAACTACAGTAATATTTTATAAAAATTTTTAAGTACCTTATATATTTCATTCAAAAAAATTATTATAATAAAAAATTAATTATTGTTTATATTTATTATAATTAAATTAAATTGGAGTATTGTGGATTTTTCTAAATCTAAAAAACTTTTACAGTTTGTCAATAATAATAATAATTATAAAAACTCAGTTTCAAGGTTTGTATAGTAGCGACGCCTGGTGAGTTGAAGATAAACTTAAAAGATAACCTCTCAAGAAATATGTGAAAAAAAAATGTATATAAAGTTGTCAATTTATCATATGGCTTTGACATTATCCAAATAAGTAGATGGAATTTATTATATAAAATAAATAGATAATAATTACAGACAATTAAAGTCTGAACTGGTCAATAATGATTAATAATAATAATAGAAAAACATAGTAATATAAAAAATAATTAATAAAATAAATTAATAATGTTGCCTTAATAATAAACAAATCTATTTATAAATATTTATTTTTGCGTTGGCAAAACAACGCCGTTGGCTTTAATAATTACTGATAAACAAATAAATCCTTCAAGATGATGCAACAGTACATGAAGGAGCTCGAGCAGGTAAATAAATATTTTATTTATTTAAATAAAAAAACTTGTTTTTTAATAATAAAATTATTACGTAGGAGCCATTTGACCCCGAAGAGTTTGTCGAACGTTTGGCTTGGAGAACAGTTAATGACTCAATGGTAGATGGGCCTGGTGTTTTTGATCCAGTTTCTGTCCACGAGACATTCCTTCACGCCATTAAGGACCTGCAAATCTTGGAGGAACGTCAGCAGAAAAAGTGTGAGAAATTGGAGTTGGCTTTGAAGGACGAGGAGACGAGGCATGCTTATGAGATTATAGAGTTACAAGGGAAAAATAAAAAAGCCATTGACTTATTTCATCAGCTTGATGAGAGGATAAATTTTGTAGCCACCAAAGTTATTCATCTGGGTGATCAACTTGAGAGTGTTAATACTCCAAGAGCACGGGCAGTTGAAGCACAAAAATTAATGAAACATTTTAGTGAATTTTTGAGTCCTGGTCCTTTAACTGATCCCATTTTTACTGACAAATCAACAGTAAGTATAATTTAATAGGAAATAATTAATAAAAATCAATAAATAATTATATTTGTCATTATTAGTTAGACGTAGCTGCAGATGTAATTCAAAAATTACACCTGATATCCCAAGAACTTCCGTCAGATAAATTTAACCAGGCAAAAGCTAAAATAGCAGCCAAGTATGATGAGATAGAACGAAGTTTGATTGAAGAATTTGTTCGTGCTCACAACAGTGACGACGCCGAGAGGATGAAAGAATTGGCATCTGTTTTAGAACACTTCAAAGGTTACTCACAGTGTGTCGATGCATTTATTGAGCAAAGCCAAATGGGTTCTTTTGGAGGAAAAGACGTTTTTCAGGATGTTATACCAATGTGTAAAAAAAATTACAAACTTATGCAGCAAGTATTTACCAATTCTCAACAAGTTATGGCCAAGTTTGTTCTCAATATCTATCATTTGAGATTACAAAAGTACACCGTAGCTAAGCTTGCTGACAGATCTGACAACGACAAGTATTTAAGTAACTTGTATGACTTGTACTCCAAGACTATTAAACTATCAACTGACTTGAAACAATTTGATATGGGTACTGATGAGGCCTATTTGACTAAACTAACGCGTAATATTTTTCAAAAACATCTTGATACTTATATCAGGTACTTAAAAATTATTTTTTGTTGCTATTAATTAATTTTATTGTTAATAATAAAATTCTATTGATTTAGTTTGGAATTAAAAGCCCTGAGAGAAAAGTCGACGAGTTTATTGGTCGAGTACTATGACTCTAAGAACCATCAGAAGAAGCAAATACAGACAGGAGGTTTTCAAGAACTCAGACGTGATCTTCAAGCAGTAATTGGTACAAGGACAAACATAAATATCGCTCAAATAGAAGATTACGGTGGGGAAACTTTTTTGTCCGAGGAGCTGGCGATATCTCTACTTCAGCGGAGTAAATTAGCATTTCAGCGATGTCAAGCGTTGTCTCAGCCAGCGGAATTGCCAACAAACGCCCTTCAAATTCTTGAAATTCTCCTACAGCACTTGATGAATGAGCATGTTGACTATGCTCTTGAGCTGGGACTCCAGAGTGTACCGATACCTGAGAGTAGGACTCCTCCGGACATACATTTCTTTAACATTGTACGACAGTGTAATGTTATCGTACGATTGCTTGAAGAACAGTTTAATGATAGTCTCGTGCCTCTTGTCATGTAATTATTTTTATTTATTTGATTTAATTTTTATTGTATTAATTTACTAACAACATTTAAATCCTTGTAGATCAACTCCGAAACACGGAGACTGCTTAGCTCGACAAAAATCAGTACTAGTACAAATAGAATTAAAACTAGACACTGGACTGGACCGAAGTATTAATGCTATTGTCGGTTGGGTTAAATTATATCTACAAAGTGAACAGCGGAAAACGGATTTCAAGCCCGAAACTGATGATGTTGATACAATAAATACATCTGCGTGCTTAGCAGTGTGTCAATATGTCACTGGTATGATTCGTCATATCAGAGATACTCTTGATGGAAAGAATGCAGAGAATGTACTAACTGAACTGGGAATTAGATTCCATCGAGTGATTTATGAACACCTTCAGCAGTTCCAATTCAATTCAGCTGGTGCCATGTGTGCCATTTGCGATATGAATGAGTACAGAAAATGTGTTAAAGAATTGGGAGTTGGAATTGTTACCTCTTTGTTCGATACTTTGCACGCTTTGTGCAATCTTTTGCTTGTTAAGCCAGCAAACTTGAAGCAAGTTTGCACGGATGATCAATTGGTAATTAATTTCTTGTTTAAAAAAAAATAAATATATATAGCTTATTTTTAATTGTTTTAATTCCAGGCCATGTTGGATCGTTCAACCTTGATGAGTTTCATTCAGCTGCGATCGGATTACAAAACTCAAAAATTAGCAAACCTACTGAAAGGTCTTGCGACAACATAACACTTCTAAAATATAATTATAATTTGAAATTTTTGGAAGGGATATATTATATATAAATATATGAGGGAAGTTGAAATATAAAATTGTTTATATAATAAACCAAAATGCCTTTTTTAAGGAGAATAATAATGTCTGTAATAAAAAAAAAACAAAAAAAATGATACACAATTTGTCGTAGCAAACTTATTTGACTATTATAAATTTTACATTTTTTCATAATTCATAATTGGTAAAAAAGCATTATTTTAATATAACATACATTTATAATTATTAAACACAATCATTAGACAGACAGAAAACTAATCGATTTTACTTAATTATTAGTTTGTTTTTTCCATTTAACGTTGACACGTTACATGTATAAAATTGTTTTATTGTTACAATAAGTGAAACTAAACAAACTATTCGTGGCGGAAGAAGGAAGTAAAAGTATTATTTTATTATTTGTCGTTACTTCTGAATCTAATTCGTTAATCAGAAAAATTATTTTCATTTTTTTAATTACGCATTATATTAACCTTCTTGTACAAAATAAAGCAATATAAAATTTTCATTAGCATAAATTCACATTAATATTAAAAAAAGAATTTTACAAAATTACAATATCTACTCAAATGTATGAGAAAAAAAAAAATGTTATGATTATTTATAATTATTGAATGAATATAAACAGAAGTAAGACTTTCTCTCCATTTATTTTTATTACAATTTGATAATATTTTTTAATTTGTAAAGACTGTCATTTTTATCACTATTAAATTTAAATAAAGATGGTGTGAGTCATTGAAAAGATTATAGAGCAATTGAGGACAAGTAAAAAATGATGATTAATTAAATTAACGCATGCGATAGTGATTCGTCTCGTTAATTTGGCACAACTCACCCTTGAAATCTAACTCAATGCTAAAATCTAAGTCCCGATAATTCCTAGCGTTGGGTTTCATCGAGAATACACCGTAAATTTCTTCGCCACGCTTAACAGTCATGTAGGAGTCAAAATAAAATACCGTTTGCTTCCAGTGTGTGTATGGAACCTCGGGCGCTGTGCTGAATCCAACGCGCTTGTGGCACTTGGTGAATTCAATGTTGAAGAATGTGACTAGAGCTTGAACGTAGTCGTTGCGTCGTACTTGGAGGGTAAACGGTGATGAAAAATCAAGATCCGCCTTTGTAACAGTGTAAAGATCGACCTCCTTGATAAGACAGGCATTTGTAACGACTTGTTTAGGGTCGACAACATCCACGAGAGGCTCACTTATCGCAACCTTACGAATACTGCTCATATCAAAGCCGTAGACATCGTCCCACCAATTTATTTTCTCGTCCTTGTACTGACGGTCCTCGATACCGCAAATAAATAAAGTTGCTTTGTCGGGGAAAAGCATGCCGTCGGGTTTCAGCCACTTGTCACGCGCATGGAGCACGGTGTCCAACATTGACTCGTAGAAAAGACAATAGCCCATCCATTCGGAAATAATAATGTCAACTTTTTCAATACCGTCTGGAAGTACGACTTCTTCAACTTTTCCCTTAACAATGGTGATTATGTGAGACAGTTGATTGGCTTCAACGATTTTTTCAGCGTACTCGACAATGTTCGAGCACTCAATACCAATTACTCTAGCAGCACCGGCTTTAGCAGCAAACATTGACAAAATACCCGTACCACAACCAATGTCCAATACTATTTTGTCCTTAAATAAATGCTTATTGTGGTACATCGAGTTACGATAGGTTATTGTTCTTACTTCGTCTTTTAGCATCTCCTCGTGAATGCCATAGTGAGCGTAAGAGTCAAAGTAGTAATCACGTGAGGTCATCTCGTCGACTGGCACCTTCTTGGTCGTGTCTCCAGACTCCTTGTCGTTGCTTGTCGTGTTGTTCTCCTCCACTTTAGTTGCCGTCACTGGCTCAGTTACTTCCATTGTCTCCATTTTTGACTGCTAAAAAATTTTAATACAATTAATTATTTTTTTTAATAAAATAATATTATTAACAATAATTTAGTAAAAATAATCATGCAAGAAATATTAATTTAGATGTAAAAGTAGAAGGATGAAAAATAAAAATTCGATTATTCTAATAATGGAATTATTGAATTTTAATTACAATGTCCTTCATAAGTGACCGGGTATTTGTGAATGGCTGCAAATCAAATTAAATAAAATAATAATGAAAAATCACGTTTTTATACTAAAAAAAAAATACACTATCGAAAACTAAAGACAAAAAAGTAAAAATAATTTTTATTTTGAGCAATAAATGGATTTAATATAAGCAGTTTATTATAATTAAATTTAGTAATAAAAACGTCGTCCACGTGCCCGCCAAAATGAATGGCGTCTATTCTATTGTAATCGAGCTTTGTGAATTTCACTCACACGGTTATAAATTTTCACGTGTCAATATTATAGCATTAACACAATAAAATACTTAATATTACTGTTCAATAATTGAAAATTTAATTAATATTTACTTAGTTTTTTTTTTTTTTTTTTTTTTTATAAGTTAAACGAACAAATAAAGAGTGTGCAGAGAAAATGCGTATAATAAAACCGGAGGAATGCCAAGGTTCAGCTAAACATGCTTTTTAATAAAAAAAAATCCACAAAAAAATAATCGACGGTACTTTTCAATGGTTGAATAATTAAAATGCAAGTAGACACCACCGAATTAACAATAAATAAATTATATAGCGTTTATTTACGAATTATTTAGTCACTCGGATGCCGTTGACGTTTGTTACTCACGAAATTCTCGGCGGATAATGAATTGTTCCCAGTGATGCCTCCCGGCACTTCATTACATGTCGCCATCTTGAATCGCGGCACACACGCTACTCGTGTGTTCTCTCAACTAAAATTTATAATTATTTTTTATTTATTCAATTATACTTAAAAACATCAACAAAATTTATTAAACGACTTGTAATTTTATAAAAAAATTGACAAAATATTTTTTTAGATTTATTAAAAATATATTTATTGACCAACAAAATTGTTAGCAGTGAGTTTAATGTTGCCATTTAATTTTCCCGCTTAAAAAACACCGGCGGCTATCTTTAATTTCTACTCCAATTAAATGAGTTTTATGATTTTGAACGCATTTCCGGTACTGTACTAACCGTCGTAAAAATATCGGGTACCTGTAAGTATTTTACTAAAAAAAAAATACTCCAACAATAATTTTAAATAATTTTTTTTTTTTTTTCATAAAAAATAAAAATAATTTTAATTAATTGTTATTTTAGGAAAAGACATAAATTTTAAAATAAAAAAAGTGATGAAGATTTTAATTGATTTGACAAATAAAAATTTACTTGTCAAAATTTGTGTAATAAATGGTTGTACGCAAACTCGAACGAACTCCGCCGCTGCCGCCGTCACCTTTCCCCTTGTCCACGAGTTTTTCTATATTGGTGTGGTATCTTTGTGTTAATAATTGTTAAGTATATTGGTGTACCATACTACCATACAGTATATAGCAGGAATAGTTAGCAACAGAGGGCTGAGTGAACCGAGAAGTAAGCGCAAAAGAGTGTATAGATAGAGGATAAATTCGATTGTGCATGAAACTTGGAGTGAGAATGCGCGGTAGAGGCAATGGCACCACCACCATCAGAAATATCAACGAGCTTGCTCGAGACATAATATACGAAAAGAAGGAATACAACTAAAAGATCCGCTGCAGCATGAGAATAAAAGACAAACTTTAGTGCATGAGTATGTGTAAATGATATCAGTGCATTTATACTTATAGTTTGATTGTATATATTTATAAAAATATTATATGTATTGGTGGGTAGTGGCTGTCCAGATCGCTGCTGCTGTTAGTCCATGTTGTTATTCACGTCAACACAAGTGAGCGAGTGAGACAAAAAAAAAAAAAATAAAGAAAGAGAGAGAAGAATAAAGTTATATACGACATATACGAGTCGCGGACGTCGTGAGAATTGCTGGAGAAATAAGCGAGCGAGCGAGTGAACAGCAAAGCAAGAAAGGCGGGGAAGGTAAAGCCTGTCTGCCTGGTTATAGTTGGGAGTTGTGATCAGTGTATAAACTGGCTCAGTGTGGGTACAACTCCAAAGCTGATTTTGGAAACGGGTCAACATTTTTTTATTAACTATCTCATAAATATCTTATTATTTTATTTTATTTATACAATAACCACGTCGAATTATTTGATAAAAAATAGTTTTTATTTTTGTGCTTCGAATAACTGGGCTTGCTGATTATTGTAGCTGTTCATAGAACAAACGATTATCATTTTACATGCAGTGTTTTATTAATTGTCGTAAATTTGTGTACATGGAGCCCGAGGAACGATAGAAAATGCTGGTAAGTAAACGGGCGGGAGAGAGTTACTTATGCGTCTATTTTATTTTTTATCATTTTGAAATAATCGTGGCTTGATTCTTTCACTACCATATTTTAAAGATTAAAATGATTAATTATATATTTTTACTGTCCATTATCACGCTGTTTATAAGTAATTTATTAGCGAATTTTAATTAATAATGATTTAATAATTAAATATGTATATAATTTTTTTTTCTTTCGAGGTTACGGAATAGACGTTCAATATACGTAAATATGTCGTTGCTGTTTATAACAATAGGAGGTAGTTTTTAAATTAAAACATCGGTTGAAATTATTTTTACCTTAATTGGTTTATTATCACTTTAGACTATAAACGTGCACAGAATATAGCTAAATAAATTCTTTTTGTACCAGTGACGTAATTCATACAACTTAAATATTAAAAATACATTATTTTTTTTTTTTTTTTTTTTTTTTTTTTTCAACAGATAAGATTAATTTAATTGTAAATTTTCCAGGGAGACGATCCACCATACCTGTCGGTGGGCACGGAAGTCAGTGCCAAGTACAAGGGTGCATTTTGTGAAGCTAAAATCCGCAAAGTTGTACGTTCTGTTAAATGTAGAGTAACTTACAAGCAGGGTCTAGGTACTGCAACTGTTACGGATGATCAAATAAAAGGAACATTGAGAGTTGGAGCTTCCGTGGAGGCTCGACATGTCGACAAAAAGGAGTTCGTTGAGGCGACCATCACCAAGATCCAAGATTGCAGTCAGTATACGGTGGTCTTCGATGATGGCGACATAACGACCCTGAGACGCACGGCTTTGTGCTTGAAGAGTGGCCGACACTTTGCTGAGAGTGAGACGTTGGATCAGCTGCCGTTGACACATCCTGAGCACTTTGGTAATCCGGTGATTGGAGGTAGACGTGGCAGACGTTCGAGGCAAGCACAGTGAGTTTCTTATTTTTGCATGTTACGTCTGTTGTTGACAAATATTTTAATTCCCTGCCGTTTTTTTTTTTTTTTTTTTTTTTTTTTTTTTTATTCCTTCTTGTAGAGATGACAGCAGTGAAGATGAAGGAAGCCCACCACGTGGAAGTCCCTCTGGCTCGGGTCTCGGCGGCAAAGAAGGAGCAGAAACAGAGCCTGAGATTGGACGAGTTGTTTGTGTTGAACTGGGTGACAAAAAGAAGAAAGACAATTGGTTTCCTGGACTAGTTGTTGCTCCAACTGCTCAAGACACTGTTAGAATTCGTGTTCGTGATGATTATCTAGTTAGGTCCTTCAAGGATGCTAGATATTATACTGTCCCGAAGAAAGAAGCTACTGAATTTACCAAGGAATTGGGAACGAAAGTTGAAAATAGCGTTTTAAAAGACGCTGTTACTAAAGCGCTGAATTTTCTGGAGAAAAATGAATTACCACCTCACTGGGATCGTGATTCATTGTTTGGTAACAGCATGTCCAGTGGTAACAGTGATACAGATGGTGATTTAGATTCAGACAGCTCAGATGATGAACCACGTGAAGAAAAAGATCATTTTGTAGCGCAATTGTATAAATTTATGGATGATCGAGGCACTCCAATTAACAATTGTCCTATGATTGGCAATGAGGACATTGATTTGTATCGTTTGTTTCGAGCTGTTGAAAAATTAGGCGGCTATAATCGTGTTACTAATCAAAATCAATGGAAGTCAATAACACGAAGGCTTGGAATTTCAATGCAACCCACTCAAGCTACGCACAATCTTGTTAAGCAGGCGTACAAAAAATTTTTACACTCTTTTGAAGATTTTTACAGAAAGCTTGGCTGTACTATGGTTAATCATCCGAGAGGTAGTACACGTAAACAAAGACCTGGAAGAAGTCTTATTAGAGATAAAGACCGTAACACACCGGTTCCAACAGCTCATCAAAATATTCCCAAAATAGAGAAAGAAAAGGCTGAAGGTGATGACGAGCAAAAGGAAAAAAAAATTTCTGTTGATGAAGAAAAGCCTGTCAGCAGTGAATCCAGTGCACCTCGAGATATTGTCAAAGAGGAAGAACCGAAATCTGTTAAGAAAAAAGAAATTGTTGAGGAGCCTGTTAGCGGACAAGAGAGTGATATTAATGTAGAAGTTGAGAGTACTGAGTCTTCAAGCAGTGAAAAGTCACAAAAGCCTCCTGCAAGATTCACTCCAGTGTCTCTGAGCCGGGTTAAATCATTAACAACTACACCGTCAACTACAGTAATAACTTCTGCAGTAACAACAGCAACTCCAACGTCTACTGCAGCAACAGGTAAAAACAAAGAAGAATCCAAGAAAAAGAGTTATGAAAAGAAAAAACAAGAGGGAAATTCATCGTCATCTAGTTCCGGTGCTAGCGTGACAGGAAAGAAAGAAATTTTTAAAAAAGACGAGGAAACAACAAAGACCCGTTCAAAGTCTAAAGAAGACACTAAAGTAAAGGACTCGCGTGAAACACGTACGCCCTCGCGTGAGTCGGAAAAAACTCGTGCTAATTCTTTGAAACCACGACGTCTAACAGACGATGAGCTTAAAAAACAGCAACGAGGACGGAAAAAACGAGAAGACACTGAAAAATCTCGTGTTGATAAAGATGAAAGTAGTGGAGCTGAAAGCTCATCAGCACCGTGTTATAAGGGTCCAGTGCAATTGGGTGACAGACTTAAAGTTTATTATGGACCGACGCATGAGTCTAAGGTAACTTATGAGGCAAAAGTTATCGGAGTTGAATCTCTTGATGGCTCTGAAGAAATGAACTATCTCGTTCATTATACAGGCTGGAATACGAGATACGATGAGTGGATCAAAGCTGCGAGAATAGCGCAAAATTTTACGCAAAGCCAGGCAAGAGTTCGGAGAACCAAGGCAACATTGAGACCTCAAACTCCCAGTACAAGCTCGAGTAAATCTGCTAAAACACTGGCAACCACTGGCTTGCAAGGTAGACGCAGAGCTCAAAGTGTTGCACCAACTACTTCAAAAACTTGTTCATCGACAACTTCTACAAGCAGTTCAGCTTCATCTGTAAATAATAAGGACAATAAAGAATCATCTCAACCTGCAAGGTCTACTACACCTTTGTCGGTTAACAGCTTTAGCTCTCGGACAAAAAGTCCAGCCACTCCAGCAGGCACTCGGCCGACTAGAAACACAAGGAATGCTGAACAACTGGGCATTGAATTACGCAGACGTACCAGAAGAATGTCTGGACACACTGATTTGTCGGTGGTAACTGAAAGTGAAGACAGTGATGCTTATGAGACTGATACTACGGAACCTGAAAGAGCTAGAACGAGATCAAGGGGCACTGAGGAACGTAGAAGACGAGAAGTAAGACGTAGAGTTGAAGATAGAATAAAACCAGATGAAAACAGCGAAATTGAAGATGAAAAAGACGTAGTTAATGAACCAAGACGGACCAGGAGGCTGAGGAGGACTCCTAATAAAATACAAAGTAAATCTGAAGTTGACAGCAGTGGTGCTGTGGCTGACGATGATGAGGATGATGTTGAGGATGAAGAAAATGATGAGAATGATGATGACGATGAGGAAGAAAACCAAGTTGCTGATAACTTTGAGTGTGCACAACAAGGACACGATGAACAGCCAAAAGGCCGTGATTTTGACCTCAATCAAATAAGATCTGAACTCAAAGGTTTTGATAAGGCTGTTAAAATGGATTTATTGAGAATGGAGCCGGAAAATTCTGGAGATGAAGACTCCAAACCACGTGTTGAAGATCTTCAAAAAGAAATTAAAGAGGAGAAGAAAAAAATTAAAGATATCAAGGTTGAAGAAACAGTTGATGTAAAACCAGCTGTTGAAACACTTGCTGTCAAAGCTGATCCATCGCCTTCGCCTACTGAGGACGTTTATGAATTTAAAGAACCTGAACCGTTTGAGTTTGAAGTGAGAAACAAACGTGACTCCTCGGGTGATAAAGATAAACCGAAAAAGCGGGTCTTTGATGAAGAACCTAAAAGTCCGAAGAAGAAGCAAAAAACTTCAGCATCTAGTCCAAAAGAAACTAAATTGACAGAAACTGAGGTTGATTCTAAACGTAAAGCAAGAAAAACGCCTGTTAAACGTCCTGAAGAAACTCCGGAAGTTATTAAACCGATTGTTGTCCCCACGCCGAAAGAGTTTGAAAAAGTCATCGAACCTCCTCCTACGTTGATACCATCAAAAGCAACCTCTGTTACTCTTTCACCGCCGACTTTAGTCTCGGCAGTTATTGAAGAACAAACTAAGAACAGTTCTAGCATTGAGTTGTTTAATGATTCGACGAGCAATGACGATGGAACTGGAGATGTTGATGATCCAGAAGACCGTTTGATTATTTTTGAAACGGAAGTGTCTGAAACTGAAAATGAAAATCCACCGTCGAATTATCAACAAGAAATATCAACAAAAATACTACCAAGTGCTGAAGCTCCCAATAAAAATGAGTTTAATAAAAAAGTTGAAGGTAACAAAGATAAAGAAGAGAAACATGTAGCTTCTAGTGTCCCTAGTACCAGTGGTATTCCTACAATTACATCCTCAGTAGATTCATTACCACTTTCAGATGATAGAGTAGGTTATGAGCCAAAACAATGGGTTATAAAGCCGATGAATTACAAAAACCCATGGGGCAATGAAATAAAACCACCACCACCGCTACCGCCTCCTGCAGTCATTGATAAAAAAGTTGTTGAGGTAAAGACACCGGTGATTGAAAGAAAAATTGTTGATACTAAGCCTCCAACTATTGAAAGGAAAGTTATTGACGCTAAGCCACCAACTTTACCAGTAATTACACCTTCGGCGAGTTCAGTACCACCTAACAATACTGAGCAAGTTATTTTTGAACCTAAACAATGGATTATGAAGTATATTTTTAACCAAAAGCAACCTAGTGATGTTAAACCATCAGTGATTGAAAAGAAAACATCTGATAGTAAATCACCATCTAGTGATAAACTGAGTGACATAAAACCATCACCATCATCATCATCTATTGCTTCTTTAACTACTACAACTTTAGGATCACCTATTGTACTTGCTCCAATCAGCGCGAGATTACCAGCTACTTCGACTATCGAAGAAAAATTATCGGCTGCAGCTATGGCATTCAGACAATCAAAGCCCAGAGATTCTAAACGTGATGATGAGTCGGGTGAGTCAAAGAAAAATCCCAAAGATAGCTCTAAGAAAAGTGATTCGCATGGAAAAAGAGCAAGAGTTATAAATGATGAGCAAGCTAAACTTAAGCAAGAACTGGAAAGAAAGAAAGAACAGGAGGCAGCTAAAATTCAGGAAGAACGCTCTAGAGAAGTTATAAGAGCTACTTTGAAACAAAAAGAAGAGGAACTTGAGCAGTTGAAAATTCATAAAGAAGATTTAAAGAAAGTTGCTGATGTTAAAATTGATCAGAGAAAAATTGTTGATAAACGTGAAGATTTGTGGAAAAAGAAGGATAAAGATATAATGGACGTTGAGGTTTCTAAAGAAATTCCTTCTGAGCCCAAGGAGAACGAAAAACAAAAGCGTAGAAAAGTTTTAAGCCAAGAGTTTGTTGATTCAACCGATAGCAGTGATTCGGAGCAGAAACTGGTGATTGATAACTCTGAAGTTAAAGAAGACAGGCGCGAGTCGTCTGATTTTGAGGGTAAAATTAAATCTGAGATTGAACTATATCCAGAAGGACGTTCCGATCATCACCAACAAGTCTCCAGTATTGTCACCCAGCAAGAACAGTCAATTAATTTTTCAAAGAGTGTTGTGAGTGCAAAAACCGAGGAGGAAGGTGAAAATATGAATTTACTCTGTGAAGAAGAGATTCCAGGCTCTCCTGCACCTGTGATTGATACAACGGAGCAGGAACGACCTGGAGATCATCAACACCATCACCATCACCACCACCACCACCACCACCACCACCACAATCTAATAAAAAATGAGTCGAATGAAAAGAAACTTGTCCTTTTAGAAATGCCGTTTGCCAGCGCCCCGGCTCTGGGACCTCAGAGCAGTACCAGCCAAGGATCAATGTCAATGACCGTCACCACAGCTTGCAATGTTCCTGTGCCTGTTTTGATACCAATGCAGCCGAATGTCGTGACTGCTCCACGTCAGCCGCTGCCTCTTCAGCACCAGCAACAACATCACCATCATCATCTTCACCATCAACAGCCACTTCAACAGCAGCAGCAACCTCAGCCGCAGCTCCAACAACTCCAATCACAACAGCAGTTACCGAAACAAGACCAACTGCACCAACAGCAGCAACCGATAATAATTCCCCAACCACCTCCGGAACAATTGCCACCTCCAGTAGTTCATCAGGTTATCCAACCACCGAGGCGAGAAAGCAATGAAGCTGCACCTGTGATGGACAATACACCGCCAACTACACCGGACTCCTCGACTATTTCTAACATATCTACTTCTCCGAGGGGTGACGAGAGAACTGGTGGATCTTCCCCCCTGTCTGATGAAAATATCAAATTAAATCGCGACACCTCGGAAGCTGACAACGATAGTGCTGGCAAAGCTCCCTCGGGTTACAGCGAAGACGACGCTACTTTAAACGCTGACGGGAATACTGCCGAAAGAGGCTCCTCAAAAGCTGTCAAGAGATCCGCTGAAGATCCAGCGTCGCCCAAGAAGAAAAAACGGAGTCGTAAAAGCTCAGAGTGTGGAAGCAATGCTGGGAGAAAAACCAGTAGCAGACACTCGGCCAGACAAACCAGACAGAGCAGTGCTGCTGGAAGTGACAGTGATGACACCAGTGAGGGATCCAGTTCAGCTAATAATGTCAATAACAATGGTAATATTAATACGAATAGTAGTCATTCTTCGACGGGTGTTGTTATTGAAAGTACCAACACTGCATCCACTACGACGACAACGGCAACTACTAATGGAATTACAGATCTCAATAGTATATCCTCTCGATCTCCCAAACCGATCAAGTACAACTTTTATGTAGAGCTAGGTTTGTATTATTATCTATTCTTTTTTTTTTTTTTTTTTTAATTGAAGAGTAATAAAAATAATAATTTTTTTGGTTTTATTTAACAGATCCTCAACTGGATGGTAGCCAAAGGATAGCTTTACTTCAACAAAAGCTTACAGAGTTGAAGAATACTTATAATACAGTTAAGTTGGAATTAGCGGGCATTGAAAGGCGGAGAAAAAAGTTACGGAGAAGAGAAAGAGAAGGTCAGTAGACTTATTATTTTTTTTTTTTTAATTGTAGTTTGTTGATTGAAGATGATAAATAAATGGATAAATATTTTTATTTTAGCAATGAAAGCCGCAAAAGCAGAAATGCAACAAGCGTGTTCTTGATGAGACCGCAATAATCACCATTAGCAGCATTAAATGTTATAAATAATTTTAAACTGACTAAAGGATTTAATAAATGAATTGTAAATACAGGCGGCGAGGACCGGCTATTTACTGAACGTAAAAAAAATAACAGCCTCTGGACGCACTGTTTAAATTAATAATACTTATTAATTATAAAAAATAAGTAACTCTTATAAAATCATTTTCTGGTATATCTTTTATCATTGTAAATTGTAGATATAGAGTAAGAAATTTGTTTTAAAGATAAAGTAATATTGATATTATTATTATTAATAAATTTATATATTGTATAAGTGTATACATACACACATATATATATTACATTATATTATATAATATTATATATATATATATTTTAGTTGATGATACCGTTTATATAATTTTTTTTAGTCTGTGTCAAGTGCGAATGTTTAACAAAGTACAAAATATTGGCCGGATTTGTGTCTTGATGGTGAAAACAGCCAAATTCAGTGGTCCTGATTATTCAACGTTGAATATTCTATCGCTGGACCAATTTTAGACTTTGGCTTAATTTTTTCTTCAGCAATTTATTAAAAATATTTGATATTATATATTTTGTAAAAAATAATAAAAAATTAATGCCGATTAATTGTTTTACCCAGTGAACAATTCAACAGTTATTAATTGACATAATTAATATATACACTTAAAAAAAAAATTACTAAAATTTTTATATAAAATGTATTTATTTGTTAGAATAATACAAGTATATAATCATCAACTTTATTATTTATTATTATTTTATTTGCTGATTTTTTCAAAAAATAATTTTTCTACACTTGCACTACTTATTAAATGTACTCTTGCATTGCTGTGTCACATTCAAATGAAATACGTTGTAAATTACGCATGCGTATATAGAAATTAAAAGGATTAAAAGGAGGTTGTTATCACAGACATAAGCATTACGCGACATCTCAGGATTAAATTAAAAATAGATTACCACCCAATTTTAATTTTGACATCAAACACTGGATGGTTTTTTATTTATTTACTAAAAAAAACTACCATGTGTAAAAGCTTAAAGACAATTTTTTTTCTTACCTTGTACATATAATAAAAATAAAAAAAAAAAAAAAAAAACAATAATAATAATAATGAAAGACTACAATTAAATACATGGCTGAGAATTTATTTTATAATAATGTATGAATTTTATAAACAATGTAACATCATGTCGAAGAATATATTTTACTCTTATAATTTATATTCAGTATGTATACAAAGAGTTATTATTATAAATAATCATAACAATATAATTGAAAATAAATGATGACTCTGTTATTGAACACAATAAATTTATACGATATTAAGATCACACTAATATGATTATAAATTTTTTTATAACTACAATAATAAATCAAAGAAACAAAATAAATTTTTATTAATTTAATTTAATTATTTATAAAATGACATGATTAAATTTATTTTTAATGATTTTATTATTTAATTCGATCTAACTACGTTAATCTAGTTTCAAACGAAATTAGCGGATGCTCATTTGAAAAAATACAAATTCCACTCTCTAAGGGAAGATATATATCAAAGACAATTTGTCTATCAATTAATTTTTTAAATAAATTGATCTTAAAAAAAAAAAAAAAAAACAAAATTGTCATAAGTATCATAACTCAGTAATGAATTAATTATCATTCACACAACCACAAAATTAGTCCAGTACCTTTTCAAATAAGCCAATGACTAATTTACAAGTACAAATAATCCAAAAAATATGAACAATAATAATAAATCGTAATACAAAGCTCAATAAACAATTTACAATTAATCATTTAATTTCATCGTCTAGCAAAAAATAAATTATTCTATGAAAGAAAAAAACGTTGCACGTATCCTTGTCACAGTCTAACAAAAAAAAAAAAAAATATATATATATATATATATATAATAAATAAAGACTTGCATTAATATAATATTTGTCAATAATGTGGAATAAATGTCTCGTCGATAGTATCAATAATATCTAAATTGGCTTTTTCTTGGCACTCTCGAGGACATTTTAAAGTACAATAAAAATCAGAAATTAAAAAAAAAATTTCAGTATAAGTGTAGATGTGTTTGTGTATAAATAAACATCAAATTGTGTTAGTCTAATTGAAAATTAATTAATATAATAATCAACAAAAGTAAAACGGGTGGATTAAGTTTGTTGACGTGAGATTGAGCGATTATTTGATTATTTGTTTTGTAAGTAACTACGACGATCGTCAACATGGAGGTGAATTTAACTGGGTTTGCTGTGTTGAGGTTGGTGGAGGAGGTGATGAATCCGTTGACGTTACTCCTAAAGGCTGGGATGATGCTGGGGATGAAGTTGGAGCCTGGCTGGCATTATTATCCGGCTCTATTCCCAGTCTCTTTCTAGCAATCATTATCTTCTCCATGAGCTCGTGATGAGCTTCTAATCGCTCGATGCAGTGAAGACAAGCTGTCTTAGGCAATGGGTCATTAACTTTTACCTAAAAATAATTTTTAACAATTTAATTACTGAAAGCTAAAAGGCGATAATGATTTAAAATGTGGTAATATAAGCGAGTAAATTATTGAATAATAATAACTTACAGTAATTGGAAGATAAGCATTTATTTTTTCAGCTAATTTCATCCTTTCGCCCTCCTCGCCGTAAATATGGATAACAAAACGATTCATTTTACTACAAAGTCTACAAATGAACCCAGTGATCACAGCTTTATCCATGCTACCCATTTTTGGGCCTCCCACGCAAATCTGTCAGGCACTCACAATTATTATTCACTTGCGATATATACAATTAAATATATATCTATATGTAAGTGTGTATATATATATATATATATAAGTCTGTATTAATATATATTAATTTTTTAGGAATTATTTTATCCTTCAAACTGATTTATTTCAGGGATATGTCAAACTACTGACTTGCTGTCTTAACTTATAAATATATAAATTATTTTTTAACAACAACTACATAGACCCACTTGGAATAAAATTTCTAACTTGTACTTGCCTCTATGTACGTACATACAGATTTGTTTATTACCATTCTAGAAGGCTTATACGGTTGGCGCTGAGTATGTATACTCAAAGGGGCGAATAAGTCAGGGTATTCCCATTTTAAAAAAACTTTTTCTTTTTCTTTTTTACTCTTTTTTACAATTCACTCAACAATTATTTAAATAATTTTTTACTCTTCATAAATAATTTCTAAAAAAATTAATAAATTAATTTTTGTATTTATATTATTGTTGAAAATTAAATTGGAGTAAATTTATAAATTTTATTTCATAATTAGGAATTTGAAGTACGTTCCTGGATCATCTGTCTTCTCCTGCTGTCAAACTCTGAACACTTTTTCAAAATTGTTTTTAAAATTTACTCCAAACTGATTAAAAATTTTATTTTAAATTTAACTCTAAAATAATTTTTTTTTTTTTAAATAATTAATGTGTAAATATTAAGAATAAAAATTGTTTATAAAAAAAAAATTAAATCCAAAAATAGGATAAAATGGGGCGTTGAGGCGTTGATCATCAGCTGAAAACTGTCAATTTGACTGACGTTGGTATTTTGCAAAATATTTTTTTTAAATAAAATGTCAATGACTGTAATTATAATTGCTGATGGATAAATGCTTAGAGTATTATTGCAAAGTAAATAGAAGCATTTGGTTTGTTGCAACAGTTGTCGTAGGCTGAGAACATGATGTGATATGCATAGGTATATAAACAACAAACAAATAGGTTAAAATAGAGATAAGCTGCTTTAGAGAGTTTATTATAACTGGGATAACATGAAGTACACAACAGAATAAACGCGCAGCCTATTGGATAATACTCGATTGAAATTGTAGATACAATATACTGTACAGTAAAAGAAAAAAAAAAAAAAAAAAAAAAAAGAACGAGACACAAAGACACTGTGAAAAGGAAAGAAAGAATATTTTATATACTTTGTGTATATGTATACATACACATATATTTATACACTATACAGGAGTAATGCATAAAAATTATGCACACCAATATGGTAACTGTGAGGGATTAATCAACTGTTGACGACCATAAAAAAAATATAAATATAAAATGTTTTAAAAATGTTGAAGTTATTGGTGTTTATAGTAATAATGGATGTGATTGTTGACTCGTGTAATGTACATTAGATGATCATTGGGTTATTGTTTATAAGGCACGATAAAGAGAATCATGTGCGATGTGTGTGTTGATTTCCACGACCTTTTGCTCTCATGTAAGCATTTAAACACATTTTTTTTCGTTGTTATTTCATTGTTTAAGGTACTAAAATTTATCATCAACACGATTCAAGTATTGCTAGCTCGTGATGAATGATTTTATTTATTTATTTATATTAATTTTAAATAGTTGGCTTTGTCTCACCTGTTTTTTTGGTTATATTTCTCCTGACATTATTGTCTTTGTTATTTTAATCCGTGATTAAAAATTGTCTTGTAGTCTTATCTAAGTTTAAATATTATTTAATCATCATTTTTATTGCAGACGAGGAACGATCCTCGAAAGAGCCTGATGAAGTTGTCTCGCTTTGTGCCACAGATGTGGACATAATTCTCCACTATGTAAACCAATGGGTTCAAAGGTAATTTTAAAATTTTAATATTTTTTTTTTTTATTTAATAAAAAAAAACAAAAATTAATTAATTATTTATAATTTATTTTTAGGCAATGCATGTGCTGTTACCGTGATTCCAAGAACTTTGACAGATTTATCCGTCTAACACACAGCGTAGTTTTGTGTACACTTCAGCAGCTGAAGGCTATTTTGCAAACAAAAAAAGACGAAGGAGAGGACAAAGCAATTGGATGTGATAATGATGACAAGAATAAAGAAACAGAGAATGACAAAGAATCACGCGAGAAAGCGGACGCGAAAGAGGAAAAGGAAAAAGGTGGCGAGTCGTCAACAGCAGTAGCAGCCAGTGATTATAAAACAAAACATCGCTGGACTCAACAAGATCGTGAAAAATTATTCCATTTGCTATCAAAGATATTTCTTTTAAATTTTCCCTTGTACATTGCAATGAAGCACGGTGGTGCTTTAAATCCCCTTGCGCCAGTAAAAGACGAGGGTGGATTTTGCGAACCTCAAGACCCAGAAGTACCAGCACCACTGATACGAGTTGTTTCATTATTTTGTCGTGAAAACGGTATAAATTTATTGTCTTCCTGTTTTGACATGGAGGAACCACTTTCAGTAAGTTTGGCTCACTCGATGGTCGCTATTATTTGTAACCTAAAGCTGTGGCTTAATTATCCCAGTGTATTGCAATTATTTGTCCCACTGAGGAGTCGAGTTATGAAGTACATGTGTCGTCTTGCTGATAAAGATTTACGAACACCAGCCGTTAGGACAATGGCTGATTTTATGTGGAGCGCTGTTAAAGACGCTGCTGATGCAGTACTCCCAACTTTTGATCGCGATGGTTTGGATTTGGCTTTTAAATATTTTACAAGCACAACTCTTACAATGAGATTAGCGGGAATCGCTCAGATAAATGTCCACATTACAGCATTCAATGAATTATGTAACAGCGAAACAGTTGCTGAAGTGGAGCAAGTTGGTCACGCGTTAGCCGCCTGGTTAACTGAAAATAATATAATATCACATATATTCGGTCCAAACTTACACGTTGAAGTGATCAAGCAGAGTCATATTGTCTTGAGCTTCCTGGCGATGGAGGGTAGGATATCCTCCACGGACATGGACACCATGTGGCAAGCTGCCCAATTAAAACATTGTGCTCGTCCAGTTTACGACTTACTTGCACCTCTGGTTAAACATTTAGCAGCAACACCAGTCTTACATCTCTACTCATTGCTCGGGAAACTCGAGCCAAAAGATCACACTGAGCAGAGTCTCTTCTTAGCTTCGGCGTTGATTAAATTTATATGGACGTCTGGAGCTCCGGGTTATCCCGGAGGATTATCAATTAAAAATCGCGACTTGTCGCGTGGTCCAGATGACATTGACAGCAGTAGCAGCGATCCAAGTGGCATGGACGGGAGCAGTCCAGAAGAAGAAGAAGAAGAAGAAGAAGAAGAAGAGGAGCCCAGTCCAGCTCCATCAGACGGTCCATCACCCAGAAAACAAGCTCGAGGTGACAGCAGCGACTGCGAGGGACACTGTAAAGGAAAACGTATTGATAGAATGCCAGTGGAGTCCAATTTGGAAGTTGATGAATTTAATGGTGATAAATTAGACCGCAATACACCGCCGATTACTACCAGCCCGATTGACGATGAAACTAATACCGAGGGCAGGTTGTACAGTAAAAAAAATAAAAATCAAAGTGGTTCGGACGCCGAAGCCGACACTGAAAAATCAGCAGCTGAGGAGCCAGTTGTGCATGAGAAAAAGAAAAGGAAAATATTACGAAAACGTAAAACACCACAAAAACGTCTTGTAAATGTTAAAGATAATATACAGGGTAGTAATATTGTTGTGTCTGAAGACAGAGAGTTACAGGATTTGCTTAGTGAGGGACCAGATTCGTTGGATATTGAGGACAAATCTAGGATAGAGACTTCGCTATTGGATTCGTCGATTAAAGATCCTAAAATAGACACTCTGGACTGTGTAAAGCAGCAGCAGAGGTCAATGCTGGAGCCAAACGATCAACAGGTTCCTACAACAGCCTTGTTGAGAAGTACCAGCAAGAATAGTGATAAATACATGTCTCTAGTTGAACACGGATCATTGACGAGAGACCCGGATTCAATTGATAGTTCACACGACGAAGACAGTGATCCAGTAGCGGGAGGTGTTGTAGCTTCAGCTGGCGCTACAGCAGGTGCCGTTATTTCAGAGCTTGCTGGCCTTGTTCATGCTACTGGGCAGTCATTTTTACCTTCTGGCCTCGATGACATGCTGTCTGACGAAGAAGGGTCTTACAGCAGCAGAATATCAAACAAGAGTGAGAAAAATATGGCTGATTTTGATGGAGAAGAGAGTGGATGCGAGGAAGAGTTGGCGCAATTAGCAGCTAGACACTTGAGTACAATACAAATGCAAGCATTTACACCGCATTCTCATCACCATAATCATCATCATCAGCATCATCACCACCATCACCATCACGGTCCTCTTGCTATGACCATCAGGAGATCAGTTTTTCGGCCGCCACAAGTTCGCAGAAGGGCCATAAGACAGTCAATGAGCTCTCGACTTGCATCTCAATTTAATTTGGACACTGTATGTAAACCTGGCAACACATTGCTGTGGGATCTTCTTCAGGACGATAAAATCGGGCAATTAGGCGAAGGATTGGCTCTGGAAGCTGAAAAAGCACTTTGTAATCTTTTATGTTTCAATGTTGACCGTTTAATTCCTATGAAATTCATCGAAGGCTGCTTGGAGAATCTCGCAGCAAATCACTCAGTTGTCGTCTCACTTAGATTACTGCCAAAATTACTCGCCAGTTTTCAACAATTTGGAGCTATGGACGCACACACTATCACCACTTGGGCTGACCGTGAGCGTGGTATGATGAAACATTTTTTCAATAATTTAAAAACATACACAAGTAATTACGCAAATAGTTCAAATAATTGTAGTATTACGAATTTATATTCACATCAAACAGAAGTACAAGTGAGATTGCAATTTTTATCTTCAATATTTTCACCTCTGGGATCACCAGATTGCTTTCGTTTAAGTTTAGAGCAAGTGGACATACTTTGGCAATGCTTGTCGCAAGATCCGACTTGTGCTGATGAACTTTTTAGCTGGTTATTGAGCCAGGCTAAGTCAACAGAGCAACACGCACTGGGAATGGACACTCTTAAGCACTTGTGTATGCGCAAATTGCCGAGTTTACCACCAGAAACTATCAGTATGACCGGATTGAGTTTATTTCAACAACTGTGTAATTTAGCTCGTTTGGCAGCTGCTCATCTAGATCGTCCGCTCCGAGAAGTTGATACCGTGGGTATGGATTTTCTTTGGCGAATAGCACTGCGAGCCAAGTCTACAGACGTGAGTATGGCTGCTATTCAGTATCTAAACGGTTATTACATGTCCCGACAATTGACTCAAGAAGCAGAATTCGTGTCTCAATGCATGACTCACCTGGAAGCAGCGAGTGGTGATTTGGAAACCAACGAAGAAGCGAGTCTCCGTTGTATACAGCGAGCTCTTTTGCTTCTTCGCACTCACTTGGAGGCATTTAGAAAACGATACGCGTATCATTTACGCCGATGGGCATTGGAGGGACGTGGAGCCGGCTCTCACGTCGCTATGAGCAATTCTGACAAAGGACAGCACCTGAAAATTTACGTACAACCCGCTGGAATCCCCGACAAAACAACATTTTCACTCCTAAGTACGGATTATGTCGCTGACCTGAGAGCGGAAGTAGCCAAGTGGTGGGACGACACGCAAAATAATAAAACAAATTCAGAATCTTCAGCGTCAGGATCATCAAACACCAACTCTACGGTTCTTGGTACTCTTTTGACTGACGGTCCTATCAGAATGATTACTCAAGGCCAAGAATTGACTTTTGAGTACGATGAGAAAACACTGCAAGAGATGGGCTTCAAAGACGGACAGCTGGTGTTTATTTCTCTCGGCGCGGCTGGCAATCGCGGTGGGAATGTCAGTGGCCGTGGAAAACGGGATGTTGACTCGGCTTCACTATTACCTCCGCCGCCCCGTGAATCACTACCAACATTATTACTTTTAAAACCGCAGTACTTTGAACAGCTGTTTACATTAATGAGGACCTTGAGTGCAATGAAGTCAATGGTGAAAGGCGGACTTAAAATACCACATACCAAAGCACAAGTTTTATCTCGCAGAGTATGGGATACTCTTATGCTGCTACCTACGAGCCCGACTTTACTTCGTGGCTTCCAGAAGCTCGGTGAGACTTCTCTACCCGAGTTGCTTGACCCAGCAAGCCCTCAAAAACTCATGTACTCGCTGTACATCGTCGAGTCGCTCAGCAGAAAGAATCCTTCATCTTCTCCAGTCTCGTGCTCGACTACAGTGACAATAACTCCCGTCCACGAAGGTGGAGGTGACGCCTCCGAAGACACCCAGGACACCAAAGACCAGCCGGTCAGTGAAGACTCGGTACCTTGGGCAACTCACTTTGTCCAGCACGGCGGTCTGCGTCATCTCTTTGATATTTTCATATCAGGCTGCCTAGAACGCGGCGACGGGAGCGAATGGCAGCAGGACTGCTTGGCGAGTCTCCTCAAGCAGCTCTGTCATCTTGGAGTTGTCCGTGAAGAGAAGAAACGACCTAAATCGGAAAAATTAATAGTCCCCCGACTGAGTGACGCAATGTTGTCGATGATGACCGTCGACACGGTAATGACCAGGATTACCAGTATTTTAAACGCCGCTTCAATGCCCCGGGATCCTAATCACTACAAAACTGGGCTCTTTGGAAGGTCACAGGTCATTCACTACACCATGGCTCTGCTGGTGTGCTGGGTTCACAGCGACTCTCGAGTCAGACAGAGTCTCTTCTCATCCTCTGAATTATTCGGTAAGACCTGGCTCCGGAGACTTATTCTAGAAGATCCTGAGCCAGCAGTACGGAGAGAAGTCTGCACTGCTCTTTACCGACTCTGTTTGGGAACTACTGTCCACGAAGAAGACGAAGACAAAACCAACGAAAAATCCGACAATACTGGATTAATTGTCCCGATGTTGAACACTCTGTTGGATCACCTGGTAATTGCAGAAGCAATGCAGCCGTCTCACAGACGTCGTCCTGATCTTCCGCTGCATCTGCACTCCGCGATCCACGAGGACGGTAAAGAACCCTACGGCCCAGCATGCAGGGATTACTTCTGGCTGGTGTGTAGATTGGTTGATGCGTTACCAAGAGAAGCTATCAGAGAACCTGGAAGCGATGAGACCGAGCAAGCGACGATAGACTTGGAAGCTCTGGCCAGCAGTGTAATTGACTCGGTGCTAAATCGTCAGCATTTGGAAACTAGGCACAATACTGTTGAAGATGATGCGCTGGTTGGACTTTTAAATCTCACGTGTAATATTATGTCACATAATCCGCCGTGCAAACAGTCTAAGGTAGGACAAAATTTACTAGATCGTGTCTTTGATTTTTTGTTTGCTTTGCCGAATTCTAGAATGAAGCACGTTCCAAAATGCAAAAGCCAAGTATCAAGATCAGCAGCGTTTGATCTTTTAGCAGAGTTGGCCAAGTCTGCGCCGGATAATTACAGAATTTTGCATGAAAAACTTCTCGCGCAACACAAACCGGGTCCACACTCGCCGTACCCTTGGGATTATTGGCCTCATGAAGACGGTCGCTCAGACTGCGGATACGTCGGCTTAACTAATTTAGGAGCAACCTGTTACATGGCCAGCTGCATGCAACATCTGTACATGATGCCTCAAGCGAGACTGGCGATCCTCAATGCGGACTGCAATCGCGCTAACAAACATCAGCAGACATTGAGAGAGCTTCAGAGAATGTTTGCCTATCTTTTAGAGTCTGAAAGGAAAGCCTACAATCCACGAAGCTTCTGTCGAGTTTACACAATGAACCACGAGCCGCTAAACACCGGAGAACAAAAAGACATGGCTGAATTTTTTATTGATCTCGTGTCAAAGCTAGAAGAAATGACCTCGGACTTGAAGACACTGGTGAAAACTCTGTTCTGTGGAGTTATTTCTAACAACGTTGTTTCGTTGGATTGCGAGCATGTCAGCAGAACTCTCGAGGAATTTTATACAGTTCGGTGTCAAGTTGCAGACATGAGAAATCTTTATGAGAGTCTTGATGAAGTCACGGTTAAAGACACTTTGGAGGGAGATAATATGTACACCTGTTCGCAGTGTGGTAAAAAAGCTAGAGCTGAAAAACGAGCGTGTTTCAAGAAGCTGCCACACATTTTGTGCTTCAATACTATGCGTTATACGTTCAATATGGGCACAATGCTTAAAGAAAAAGTAAACACACACTTTAGCTTCCCACTGAGACTTGACATGTCGGGTTATGTCGAGAAGAAATTAATTCCCCAGCATTATCGTGAGGACAAACGCAAAGGCGAGAACGAAAAAACAGAGTGTGAGAATGATGAAAAAGTAAATTACGACAAAGATGTTAATAGTGACAGAGCCGAGCATTATCAGTACGATTTAATAGGTGTCACTGTTCACACAGGAACAGCTGATGGAGGTCATTACTACAGCTTTATCCGAGATCGTACTTCTGCCAACAAAGACAAGTGGTTTTTGTTCAACGACGCGGAGGTAAAACCTTTTGATCCTAGTCAAATAGCTGCCGAGTGTTTCGGCGGAGAGATGACCAGCAAAACTTACGACTCTGTCACCGACAAATTTATGGATTTCAGTTTTGAAAAAACCAATTCTGCTTACATGTTGTTCTACGAGTGGTGTGCTGATCCGAATTCCGAGCAGCACAAGGAAGAAGAAGCCACCGGTTCGAGTCCGTCGGTAGTGACGACCGTCCACGAAGATCAAAGTCGTTTCAACGACAAGCTTTATTCTCATCTGGAGCTAAACAAAGAGCTTGAAGACTGGATTTGGCAGGACAATATGCATTTTCTTCAAGATAAAAATATATTCGAGCACACGTATTTTAGTTTTATGTGGCAAATATGCGGATATATACCCGGTACAATATTATCACTTTATCCAGAAGTTACGGAGATGTCTGCTGAATTGTCGACGTCCTTTTTTATGGAAACATTTATTCACGCTAAAGAGAAGCCGACAATGGTCCAGTGGGTTGAGTTGCTGACCAAGCAGTTTAATGCTTCAGCTGGAGCTTGCGCGAGATTTCTCGAGCGCATGGCCAGTGATTCCTGGTGGCCTATACAGATTCTAGTCAAGTGTCCGAATCAGATGGTACGTCAAATGTTCCAGAGACTGTGTATTCACGTGATACAACGACTAAGATCCACTCAAGCGCCCTTGTACCTATTGTGTGAGAACGAAGACGAGTCCTCGGACAACCAATTCAACGGAGTTGGCACCCAGTCCTGTGTAACGCGATTCGTTAGAATGTTGCTGTCACTTATGGAGCACGCCAAGCAGCACCTGAAACACCTCACAGAGTACTTCAGCTTTCTCTATGAGTTCTGCAAGATGGGAGAAGAGGAGACACTGTTCTTGATCCGAGTACAAGCAATATCCACGATGATAAACTTTTATCTAGGCCACAAAACTTACGAGATGGTCGACGCAGTCAGTGAAGAAGAAGAAGAGGAGGAGGAAGAAATAGTCGTGGCAGTACCGGCTGAAAAATTACGACCAGCTTCGCTCGACAAGATGATCACCTTGATAGCGACTCTTGTTGAAAGAAGCAGAGGGCCTGATCATCGATTAACTCTTTCTCCAGCAGACCGGAACGCAGTTGCCGGCGGCAAAGGGTTCCCCTTTTTGTACCAACAAACTAGGGATGTAATTAATCTAAACCAAACGCGCAATCTCATCCAGTCATTGTGCCGGTGGAACGACAGGCTGGCTATCCACATTGTCACGATGATCTTCCAAGCAATTACCAAGCACACAGACATGTGTCAGCCATTTTTTAAGCTGCTTACTCTGCTGACAGAAGGCTCTGGACCCGCTGGGCTGCCCTCGATGACTCAGCTGATTTTGGGCCGCGTTTGGGATGCTGCTAGAACAGCTCCGCATGCTGCACTCGAGTGGCTCGCTCTGGCTGTCACTAGGAGCAAATTGGCGCACACTTGGGTGCTCCAGGAGCTGGACACGTGGCTCCAGCACTTTTTGATCGAGCACTCTAATCAGAGAGTCCGTTCTGCAGCTGCGTTTCTCCTGGTTTCGCTGGTACCGTCGACTCACTTTCGTCAAGGCTACCGAAGCACTCACCGACTTGGACTCGGGTGCAATTCAACTCGGGAATTCCAGTTGCCTCCCGAAGCAACGATTATACTTCATCAGATCTACACAGCGCTGCTGAGACTTCTTCAACCAGCCCGTCACTTTATAGACATTCAGACCCACGGTACCATGAAGTTAACGGCATACTTTGCATTGATGACCTACTGCGTGGTATCTAAAACAGAAAAACTTATGTTTGGACAGTATTTAAATGATTTGTGGACGTTATTCCATCCGAAGCTTTCGGAGCCGAGTATTCCTGTTCACCACAACAAGCAAGCTGTATTATTATTCTGGCACCACGTTTGCGTAGATTGTCCAGAAAATGTTACAATGATACTCCATAATCCTCATATCACTAAAAATATTGCTTTTAATTATATTCTAGCAGACCACGACGACCAGGACGTTGTTTTATTTAACCGTGTGATGCTCCCAGCGTACTACGGACTCTTGAGACTGTGTTGTCAGCAGTCCCGGGCATTTACACGGCAACTAGCAGCACACCAAAATATCCAGTGGGCTTTTAAAAATATAACTCCACATCCGACCCAGTATTCAACCGCCGTCGACGAGTTGTTTAAATTAATGCACTTGCTGGTGGCACGGCATCCCGATCAAACAGAACAAGAGGAAGCGGACATTGCGTCATTCAGACGTGGAACATTGTCCTCGTATCTCCAGGGCCTCGACGGAAGATCCTGCTGGGCTACACTTATTTCAGCCTTCAGAATTCTGATTGAGTCTGACGAGGATCGTCTGTACGTGGTCTACAACGGTGGCCTAGGAATGGCTCTCGAGGCATTTCACATGCTCCATATAATGTACCATGAAGCAACTGCATGCCACGTCGCTGGTGATCTTGCTGAGTTGATTGCCATAGTGACTGATCTCGTGAGAAGTATGAGGACTGCTCGGGACGGTCCAGACGCTAGGAGTATCCTAGCCAATTGCAAAGAATGGCCTGATGTACTTCGAAAACTGGCAACACTACTCAACACTTATAATCCTCCTGAAATAAGAAATTTAGCTATTGAATTACTGAAAGAGTTGGTGATGCTGGTACCTACAGAGGCGATATTGATTCTCGCTCCGTTGCTTTCACACTGTCATGCAGCTTTACAGGAGTCTCATCCAGCAGTACCACCGGGTCCTTACTTACCACGCCGGTCAACGCCTTCGGGAAAAATAGCTGCAAGACCAGCCAGGCCTATGGTTCAAATGGCTGTGCCACACTCTCAGCTGGAAGCTACCAAAGGTTCAGACCCCGAGTACGACAGTGCTCTTCTGGAATTTTATCTTCCGTACCACGAGTTGATAGACGTCATGTGTAGACTGGCGATAAATCACGATTGCATGACTGAAACTCTGGTGAATCTCAGTGCAATGTTAGGATTTGAAGGAGTACCACTGCACCTAGCGTTGTTCCCAAGATTGTGGCTGGACGTCCATGCAGCTGCTCACATTGATCGCAAGCACATTTCAGCGCTTCTGTGCTCGTCTTACACAGTTGACTACGTAGACGCGGTGCTGCTGGATGAAAGATCTTCACTTGGAGTACCAGCAATTCACGCCTTCCTGAAGACTTTTTTCCCAAAGCTAGCAAACCACGTGCTGACTGAGCAAACTTGCTCGCTTATTGACAACCTGGTCAGCAGTCTGACGACAATGGTCGACGCGGTGGATGTCAAAAATGCTGCGCACCGGCTTACTGGAGATCTCCGTGCTCTTGCGTTGGTGTACAGCAGCGGCAGCCAAGTAGAACCACCAAAATCACTTCACCAGGCCTTGGAGACTCTTCTCACGCGCACCAGAAACGCCAGGCTCAAGGAAACTAGTCCTCAGCAGCAGGACATTGAAGCTCCGGCCAAAAGACGTAAGTTTACTGCCAATGAAGAGCGTGAAGAAGAAACTTCCAGAAGGAGAAGCCAGTCGCCTGTCAGTGCTGATGATCCCAGTGAACCGGCGACTTTTAATCACCAAAAGCTTGAAACTGCTGCTGTGATGGATGTCGAGGAGAAGAGCAAGCCAGTCGGGGATAAACAGGAGACCAAGTCTTCAGATTCAGGTGATGAGCGCGCCAACAATCCCGACAATAACAAAACAACTGCTAAATTGTCTTCAAGTGTCGACGGTACTTCTTTGTCACCCTCGAGTCTGATGTCTGCGTCGTCAACTGGCAGCCGAACTAACCAAATAATGTGTTCTATGACAAATGTATCGTGGTTAGAGATGCTTGAAAAAACAATTGTTAATCTTCAAGTGATTGTGACAATGCAAACTAAAAACAATTAAATGAATTTAATAACTAATATTACAACTATATTAATATTAATAATTATTATGATGATGATTACAACTATAATGATAATTATATAATACAAGGTTTGTACGATAAACCTACGTTAGTTTGTTTTCTTCCTCGCTCAGGTGAAAATTAATAAAAATAAATAATTAATTAAAAATAATTAAGTGTGAGAGTAGAGTGAGGAAGAGTGTGAAAGAACTTGTAAGTTTATGAAAGTGAGAATTATTAAAATAAAATTGATAATAAAAATAATTAAAATGAGTGCTCACGGATTAATCGTATGGCATTTTTATTATAACTGTATTACTCGTACACTGTCTTGGAACTGAAAATTTGTGTATAGCTTTTTGCGAATTATTTGCCAGAATATATTAAAAAGAAAACAAAATTAACTAAACAATTGTTATTATTTTGTTCTACTTTTGGGTACGTAATTTTTGTCCTAAATAGGATTCGAATGATTGAACTTGATAGTTTTTTTATTATACAAAGAAAAAAATATTAATAAAATATTATTTAACCTGATAATTATTTAATTTACCTGTATATGTTTATTTATAGTACCTAATTTCAATAATTCATAATGAGAATTTATTTAGTAGATATTTAATAATTATTAAAATTTTTTTAATTAATAAATTATGACAAAAAAAAAAAAAAAAATTGACATGTAGAAATTTTAAAAAATCATTTTTCAGAAAAGATTTATTTGTTAAATAAAATTAAAAAATATATTATCAAGTGACTTCTAACTTTAATGTCATTAATTCATAAATAATCATAACAATTGTCAATTTTTAATTGTTATTTATTAACTGACGCATGCATTATTCTTTTTTTATTCAGAGTAATTGTTAATTCTTCTTTTTTTCAGAAACTTATCAATTGTATTGGTAACTTAGCGCTTTGAAAAATTCCAAGTCTGCGCAGTTGGGCTGATTTTTTTTATTTTTTTATTTTAAGTTCTGCGCATGCGTCTCGCGCCTTGCGCCGCCATTACACGACACTCTTCGGGTGATTCCGGCGAGGATCAGTTAAGACGGTTGAAACCGAGGAATTGTTGACATTTTTTTTAAGAAAGATCGAGAATTCAAAGAGTCGAAGTTTAGTGTTTTCAATTGAATTGATGTTTTAATTACATAAAAAATTGTTGTGTTGACTTACAGTGTGTTGATTGAAGAAAGCATGGCCGACTTTTGAAAAAATAAAAAAAAATACATCTGTCAGTTTATGTTTCCTTAGTAATAAATTAAATCTTGTTCAAAAACATGGAAGACCCTGTTGAAAGAAAAAAAATTCAACAACTAAAAAGTTATTATCAGTTAGTGTTACCAGTGACTCAAATCTTGAAATGGCTATCATATGCAGATAAATTCAGAATTTGTTATCGAGAATTTTCATTCGTGACTGTCAGAAGCGAATTTTCTCGGTATGAATCTTTTAACAATGCCAAAGAGTTCAGAAGCCGGTTGATAAATTTGGGTCCCGCCAGAATTGACGTTGGACCTACTTGGCCAAAAAGTCCTCTGTGGTCGTCAAAACAAGGCTTAGATCCTGTAAGAAAAGAACTAGTGTTCGATATTGACCTGACAGATTACGACGATGTGCGAATTTGCTGCCAGGAGAAGAATATTTGCGTAAAATGTTGGAAATACATGGTGATAGCTTGCAAAATAATCCACAGATCTCTCGTAGAAGACTGGGGCTACAAGCACACCCTCTGGGTATTTTCCGGCCGTCGAGGTATCCACGCGTGGGTTTGCGAGCCAAGTGTCCTGAAATTTGACGACGACGAACGTTATATGATATCAGAATTCTTCCAGGTTTCCCTTACAAATTCTTTCGGTGAGAGCCAGTTCAGACTGACGGGGATAACTAGCTTCATCCAGCGCGCCCTTGATATTATCGACGAGGACTTTTTACGCTTCTGTGTCGTCGAGATGGACATGTTGGGTACTGACGAACGTGTTCAAAAATTCATAAATCTGCTAAGGTGTCCCAAAATAATGAGAGGTGTTAAAAAAGAGTTCCTGGACCATGACAACAGTATAGATCGCTGGAACGCTTTTCTTGAATATTTTTATACTAAGTTAGTTAAAGGAGAAATTCCTGAAGACTGCAGGTACTTGGTTGAAGAACTAAAGTTGCAATATTGCTACCCGAGAATTGACGGCAGTGTCACTGAAGGAATTAACCATCTTTTGAAGATGCCGTTTTCGGTCCATCCGGCGACTGACAAAATCTCTGTGCCGTTTGATCCTGAGAAGATCGAGTCCTTTGACCCGACAACGGTGCCTACTCTCACGCAAATTTTGTCTGAAGTCGCTGAGTTTAAGAGTTGTCAACAGCCTGGTCAAAGATGGAATCAGTGGAATCCTTTATACCTTTATAAGACGAGCTTGAGAGACTCGTTTAAAGTTTTTATTAAATTCTTGGTGAACTTGCACGGAGATTTGCATTAGTAAGGGTGCGAATAATGGCCATTTAGTAAAAAAAAAAAAAAAAACAAGTTAAAAAAAATCAAGAATATTAATTATTTTTATTTAAAATATAAAATTTTTTTTGTTTGGTTTTTAATTTTCTTTTTATTAAAAATAAATTTCAAATCTCAAAGCCATGAAAATTAATAATACTAAAGCTAGCTGACGTTTTTAATTTTTTGATTTTTTTTAAATTATTAAATTAGAACTAAAAAATATTTTTAAGAAATTTCAGGTATTGTTTTTTAAGTTTTTTAGAAATGAAAATTTTTTTTTTTATTATTTTAGTAAAATATTCTAATTTTATTTCATTGAAAATTAAATTAGCCGATAATTAAAAATTCTTATAATTTATTTTATTGAAAAATAATTTTTAAAAAATTAAAACAAAATTTTCACATGTAGAAAATTTCTCAGTTGAAACAAAAGCGCCATCTACAAATAAAAATTAATCGCCAACTTCGATAATCATCGGAATACTTCGTATTATCCCCAACCGCGCAAAGTAAAGTAAACGTAAGTGTATATAGAGTAGTTAGATTTGAGAAACTTGTTATTTTGTATACACCAGACTTATAATTATTAATTATTATTATTGTGCCATTTATTACCGTATGACTTATGTAAAAAAAAAAACGGTATGAGAATGGAAATTATTGAGACATTTTTGTGTGTAAAAATTTTATTGCAATTGTGATTTAAATTACAATGTCAATTATCGCCAAGTGATATAAGGTTAGTCTTTATTTATCCTCCGGTATTTATTATTTATAAAAAGTATTTTCTATAAATTAATTAGAAAAAAATTATAGAAATTTAAGTAGCAAAAAGTTTTAAATAAAAATGCCGGATATAAAAGTCACACCTCTGGGAGCTGGACAAGATGTTGGAAGAAGTTGTATCCTCGTGTCAATGGGAGGAAAAAATATAATGCTCGACTGTGGAATGCACATGGGTTTCAATGACGAGAGGAGATTCCCTGATTTTTCGTACATCGTCCCAGAAGGACCGGTGACTAATTACATTGACTGTGTTATAATATCACATTTTCATCTGGACCACTGTGGAGCGCTTCCTTATTTTACAGAGATGGTAGGATACACTGGACCAATTTACATGACCCACCCCACAAAAGCGATAGCTCCGATCCTCCTGGAAGACATGAGAAAAGTAGCTGTCGAGCGAAAGGGTGAGAGTAATTTTTTCACGTCTCAAATGATCAAGGACTGTATGAAGAAAGTCATCGCGGTGACACTGCATCAGTCTGTGATGGTTGACCCAGAGTTGGAGATAAAAGCTTACTATGCCGGCCACGTGCTTGGAGCTGCTATGTTTCACGTCAGAGTTGGCTCGCAGTCGATAGTTTATACCGGAGATTACAACATGACCCCTGATCGTCACTTGGGAGCTGCTTGGATCGACAAATGTCGGCCTGATTTGCTAATTTCAGAGTCAACGTACGCGACCACCATCCGAGATTCGAAAAGATGTCGAGAACGTGATTTTCTAAAAAAGGTATTATGTTTTTTTAATTAACAAGTTAATTTATTAATCTATATTACCTATTAAGAGAATAAAAAAAATTTTATGACCGATAGTCAATTTATAATAAGTATTTAGGCTGCATTTGAAAATTCTTTATCTCTAGATACATAATTAAGAAATGACTTAATATCTTGAGAACTATTGACATTTTTAAAGATATAAGCTCATCCTGATGTTACACTCATCAAGACCTTTCATTTGAGTACCCACATCAATTTTTCATATATTTTATATATATGAATATATGAAAATGCATGTGGGTACTCAAATGAAAGCTCTTGATTAGTGTAACGTCAGGATGAGCTTATATCTTTAAAAATGTCAATATTTAATAAAGTACAGTGCAATTTAACATATGAAAATGCATGTGGGTACTCAAATGAAAGCTCTTGATTAGTGTAACGTCAGGATGAGCTTATATCTTTAAAAATGTCAATATTTAATAAAGTACAGTGCAATTTAACAAAAGTCATTATTTAATAAAGCAAAATTTTATTTATTTATAACATGGTGACTGCAAGGTTGCTAGTTAATGTTATTAAAAAAATATCATTACTTTTTTTTTGCAGGTTCATGAGTGTATAGATCATGGTGGTAAAGTTTTGATACCGGTGTTTGCTCTGGGTCGTGCTCAAGAGCTTTGTATTCTCCTGGAAACTTACTGGGAGCGAATGAATCTTAAAGTACCTGTTTATTTCGCCCTTGGGCTTACGGAAAAAGCGAACAATTATTACAAAATGTTCATCACCTGGACGAACCAAAAAATAAAAAAGACTTTTGTCCAGAGAAACATGTTTGACTTTAAGCATATCAAACCCTTTGACAAAGCTTACATTGATAATCCCGGAGCTATGGTAGTTTTTGCAACACCAGGGATGTTGCATGCGGGGCTGTCGTTGCAAATTTTCAAAAAATGGGCCCCCAATGAGCAGAACATGGTCATTATGCCCGGTTTCTGTGTTCAGGGTACTGTGGGACACAAAGTACTTGCTGGAGCCAAGAAAATCGAGTTTGAAAATCGGCAAGTCGTTGAAGTTAAAATGGCTGTTGAGTATATGTCGTTCTCAGCTCACGCCGACGCTAAAGGAATCATGCAGTTGATCCAGTACTGCGAACCAAAGAACGTCATGCTGGTACATGGCGAGTTCGCTAAAATGGAGTACTTGAAAGAGAAGATTAAGCAAGAGTTTGGGATCAACTGCTACAATCCAGCGAATGGAGAGACTTGTGTGATTACTACCATGTCCAAAGTACCCGTGGATGCCTCTTTGGAGCTACTGAAGGCTGAGGCTAAACGCTATTCGGCTTTGCCGCCAGATCCTAAACGCAGAAGACTTTTGCACAGTGTTCTGATGCTCAGGGAGGACAGTGTCAGCCTTGTTGACGCTGAAGAGGTAAATTTTTTGGAGAAGTTTGTATTTAATGGATGAAAATTAAATTAGCCGACAACTGAAAATTTTAAGAATTTTTTTTCATTGAAAAACTTATTACAAAAGAATAAAAAAAAAATTTCACTTGTAAGAAACTTTAAAAACTTTAAGTGCAATTTTTAAAAAATATTTTTTTGTTCTAATTTAATTTAAAAAAAAAAAAAAAAAAAAATCAAAACGTCGGCAAACTTCAGTATTATATTTAATGGATTTATTTTATTGCAGGTCGGAAAAGCTGCGGGAATACCGAGACACGTTGTTAGATTCACTTCGACTGTTCAGATAAAAGATCCTGGGCCAGTTCAGTCGACGACAATGAAGCTGTTTCAGCCGCTGAAGGAACGACTTAACGCGTGGAATGTCCAGCTTACTGACGGTGCCATTTCAGTGGAGTCTGTTTTAGTTAAGATTGAGGGAAGTGACGAGGACCAGAAGAATGTGTACGTTTCTTGGACTAACGAAGACGAAGATTTAGGGAGTTACATTCTTGGGTTCCTTCAAACAATGTTAATTTAAGATACTTTAATTTAATAAATTAAAAATTATGACAGACCTGTGATACAATTGCAGAAAATTTTCCATAATTATTGGTTGGGTAAATTTAATAATCGTAGTGATAATAGTTAATAAAATATATAAACTGCAGGGTACATATATTTTTTATTAGTATGTTTAATGCTATATAGCAACTGTTATAAGATACTACCAGGATTGATAAGGCTGACCAATGGTTTGGATATTACAATAACATTCACGAGTATTTTATTTGTTTTTTTTTTTTTTTTTTTCTTCGTAATTTTCATTTTTTTCTACAATTTGACAACAGAGATTCGGTTAACAAATAATAAAAGTGAATTTATTAATAGCCTTTTTTAATTATCAATTGGTTTTTAATTGGCTAATTATTATTGTTATAAACTATGTAAATTAATTATAATAATAATTTTACAATTAATGTTGAGCTGATATTTGTGTCGATGAGAAAAAAATTAAATATAAAAGTAAAGTGTCGATTGGACGATGAGTTTAGGGATTAAATACAAATATACGAATAAGTGGTTAGTTATAAATTTATTATTTAATTTTTTTTTTAATCCAAACCATTAACCGTCCAATCGAGTTAATGTGCATTGTAATTTACCCCTTAATTATTCTGTAGTTGTATTATAAAATGTATATAAAATAAGTACGGTATCCAATGAAAAAATGTTTTACATATATACTTTATTTAATAAATGAACAGCCATTACTTTAGGCTGTATCAATCAGTTTGGTGAACATTATTTTAATAAAAAAAAGCATTCAAAATTTCTAAAAACTATTAAAAAAAATTTTTTTGTTCTTTTTTTTTTTTTTCTTTTTGTTAATTAAACTCTATACCCTAAGCATTTATAATTTTTTTTTTTTTATTTATTATTAACAAATTCATTAGTGTTCCATTCACCAAGTGTAAATAAATTTACAATTATTGGCTGTCGTTAACCATCGTCAATCTGTTTGTTCTCAGCTCAATCAAATAAATTAATTATACAAATTGCAATTGTTATTATTCGCTTCAAAGTATAATTAAATAAATTTTTAATTTAATATAATCGTTCGTCGGTGTTTTTTTATTGGCTTTCGATATGATTCCCTGAATAAAATGAAAAATATATAAACTACAATTGAAAAACATTTACTAAAGTTAATTTTATCTCCAAGCATGCTTTTCAATAATTAATATTTGTTAATATTATTATTATTATTAGTTATATTGGTATTATTATCATCAAGTTGTCGATTTCTGGACACATAAACTTGTATTTATAGGACTTGAGCGACGATTTTGTTGCACAAGCTCACTAGAATACTTATATTCATACATTTGTTCTTAATTGAATATTTTATTGCACGTACGACTGTGTATATAGTTAATTTAATATTTTTCTTTGTTATTTCTTCTCAATTAATTCAAATGCATCGACTCAAGTAATATTTTTTATCATTTATATACTTTGATTAATCATTAATTAATTAACTTCTAATTAGCCCAATTGATGGATTAATTTATTCAAATTGAGTGAAATTATTTTTTTATAATTTTTTTTTTTTTTTTTTAAATTACAATTCATAATATAATATACTAGATTTATGTTGTCTTTTAAAACATATTGCATACTAAATCTCAACAAGTGGAGTGAATCGTTGATTTAAAATAAAAATATCGTGTTTATTTTAAATTATTTTAAACCCTCTTATTAATCTCTCTCACGATTTTTTTGTTTTCAATCTATCTATGCATCGATCTATATTTTTTTATTCATTTAATATTTTTATTTCTTAATTCTTCATATAATAAAATATGATATATTTTTTATAATAAACATTATTCATAATTAATTATTATTATTATTATTATTTTAGTCTTCTCAGTAGCAAAGTCACCGTCTATCGACGTTTACAGTTAGACTTTATGTGCTAATAAAACTATCCATTTATTTATTTATTTTTATAATATTTTTTTTTGCATTCTACGCAACTCCTTTGTAGTCTTCACTAGCGCAGTTTAGCTCTAGATGTTACTTTTTTCCTGAACCACCCTAAAAAAAATAAAATAAAATATTAAAATTCCTCTTGAATAAATAAAAAAATAAATAAAACAACTATTTTTTATTTATAAGTGCGAACGAGAACCCATAAATGTTCACAATGCAAAGAATCACTTTAACAAGACATTCAATTTATTAAATACGTATTAAAATTTTAGAATAAAACAAATAGAATAATAAAAATGGAGTGCAAGCTTCTTAAATTAATAACTTGCCGTGCATTAGAACAAATTCAGGTAATAAAATATAAATAATAATTTTTTGTTAAAATGGACTCAATAATAAAATTTATCAGTGATTGTACTAACTAGTAAAAGCAAACATTTACACAGCTACGTTTAAAAATAAAATATAATCACATTGATAAATAAAAAATAAATTTAATATTTGTGTAAATATAAAATAATATGTCTTATATCTGAAATAAATGAATAAAATAAAAAATGATTTTATCTGTACAAATGAAAAATAAATGAGATTTAATATGATTAGCCTGTCTACGATGAAAATACCATTTACCCCAGTGTTTGCACTCAAAATTAATCCCACATTTTTATTTATTTATAAATATAATATATACATTAAACGGTATTACCAATTCATTTTAATAAATTAAATATATACTCGCGGAATTATTATTAATGTTAATATTAATTAATTATTCAAAACGCCAGTCACCAGATCCAATTATCCAATTATTAATTCAAAAAAATGACTGTTAACACTTATATATTATTTAATCAAATGGTATTGCTGAAATTTAATAATTTATCTATTTAATTTCTAATATTAAGAGTTAATAAAATTTAAATGCTACGCCACAAAATAATACCAAGCAGTGAAAGCCACTCTCTGTCTTAATCAATAATTATTAATTATTAAAATCAAATCTATTAAATCAGGTCATGGATTTATCGGTGAATTGATGATTAAATAAATTATTTAAGTGAGTAAACAAGATGCAGCACATTTAGTTATATATTATCATAATAAATATATTAAATGAGGATTAAACAAATAGGGGACTCAAATTGCAAATAAATAGTGTCTATAAGCATAATTTAAAAACTAATCAAAATAAATATTTGTGCAAGTGTTATGCTAATTTCTTTATTTTTAATTTATTCAATTTTATTGAGAGTGGCTTAAACCCAAGCTAATTCGATCTATTAAGTGCTTTAAATGGTTAACTATCGATTATTATGATAAGTGACGATGATGATGATGATGATGATGATGATGATGATGATGATGAAATGAATTATAATTAAATACATGAAAAAAATAAAATAAAAAAAAGCATTTCAAAAACCGTACGACCCGCTATTGACAACTATATTCCCGGAAAAAACGACGATATAAAATAAAAATATATCGCGTTTTTCTCTTTTAATTTAGCATACCTGCGAATCTGCGCCGCTTTGAAGTGGCTTTCTTTGTGGACTGTCAGAACAATTAAAATCAAATTGTTATTCAACTATTACGTTAACTTTACGCGACTTTTATTATTTTCTAATTTATTTATTTGCCCGATAATAATTCCTAAAAATTGGTATTTAATTTTGGTGCAGACTTAAACACTGGGAGACAGGCAACCTAGTAAAATATTGTTTGTTCCTCTTGTTACATGCGTTGTGGCATCAGTATTATTTGTTTATCTCGCTACTGGCATTATAATTGTAGTAAAAAAAAATATTTTTGTAATTTTAAAACACACCAGAAGTTGAAGAAAAAATATATAAATAGTCAAGAGCGTAGAAAAAAATCCTCTAGAATATTTAACTGAAGAATATTTATTTATTCACAAGCATCTAGTTTAAATTTTGATAAATGAACAGTAAAAAATATAAAAACCTACAGATATAGTGATGTTGAGGAACTTATCTAATCAACAATTAGAATTTCAACATCGTGAGAAAGTAAAAAAATATTTAAGTGAGTAAAGAAGAAAAATGGGACAACAGTTTGTTGTACCGGGACAATTCTAAATGCAGCTAGAGTCAGCTACAAAAAAATCATACATTGATCCAAGAATGAAAAAAAAAGAACTAGCACTTTAGAAGTATGATTGTAGATATGTAAAAGGTAAACAAAACAGATGTTAAAAATAAAAAGAAAAGAAAAATGATCCTCATATCCATTTACCAAAAGTAGATGCACCAATTGTCATATTTTAATAAATATTTAATCGAGCCAGTAATAATACTTTCCCGTAACACTTTGACCAATCAACAAGTTGGCCATGGTTGTTTTTATTTAAGCTTTACCTTCCTCTTTTTCTTGTGTTTTTTATGTTGTTGATCGTTAATAGGTTGTACGTCATAAGCAGCCGTATGACAATTATCGGAATTTAATTCGGAGGTAAACGAGTCACGGTTGTTATCTTGTTGTGACTTGACAACCAATTTGGAGCTGGTTATGGAACAGTTTTCAGATTCCGGGTTTCCGAAAAGGTTTTTTTCTATCGCAGCTAACAAAGACTGGGTCGCTCTCATCTGCTGCGTGTTATTTTTATATAGGTTGATTAGCTGGTTAGAGATCGGGCAAGTCTAACTAATCGATTTACGATAACGGCAATTTATTTATTTATTTATTTATTTATCAAACTATTAGCTTAGTCATTTTCATTATTAACGCTCTGAATTCATTTACTCCAAATAAATTGCCGCTTTCATATGTTAGTACTTTCATAGGAGAAACTAAACTTATTTATTTATACCAACCTCCGGCTTATTGCAGTCGGACGACGGAGGCCCGTTCACTGTTGAAGACTGATCCACACTACTGCAAGCACCGATAGCTTCATTCTGATTTAAAAATTTTTTTATTAACAATTAAATCCCTCTAATTCTTTTTATAAAATAATTAATTACCTTCAATCGGCAGACTTCTTCCTCTAGTTTTGAGACCGAGATTTTCTCTTGGCTTAGAATAGCTTCGCTTTTTTCAACTAGCGTGCGCAATTTACTCAATTCACTGTCTAAAGTTTCATTCTTTGCACGTTCAGTCTCTAAATCTTGCGATAATCTCTGATTTTCCTTTAAAAAAAAAATATATATTTAAATAAATATTACAATAAAAAAACAATTATTAACATAATACTGAAGTTAATAATAATAAAGTTAGCCGACGTTTTTAATTTTTTGATTTTTTTTCAATAATCAAATTAGAAGAAAAAAATTGCACTTTCAGTTTTTCAAGTTTTTTACAAATGAAATTTTTTTTTTTTTTAATTTTTTCAATAAAAAAAAAAAATTCTAAGAATATTTTTCATGTTTGTCAACTTCAGTGTCATTTATTAACATAAATTTTCTAATTAAAAATAAAAACCTCTTGTAGTTGTTCAACTTTGGCAAAATTAGCTTTTTGAATAGGTGACGTGTAAGTTGTTTTTACTGTTACTAAATTGGCTTTTTCTTTCTGTGCTTCCTCTCCCTTCAATCTTGATTCTAACTGTGAAATTTTTTCTTGAAGCTAAAAATAATTATCAAATTTTATTAAAAATAACATACATACAATTTTAAATTACTGTTATCGTTAATATTAGTGATAAAAAGTACTTATTTTAAACAAAAAGCCATGCATTAATAACTGTTACCCTTATTTGACGATTACAAGTTTGATCAGAAAGAATAATTATTAAAAAATTGAATTGTTATTTTAATAAATCCTTTTAAATATTTCGTACCTCTTTAGTGATGTTAGGTAGAGATTTTTCTATGCAACTAAATGCAAATTCAACTCCATCACTGTGATGACACGTGTCCCTTTGTTCGTGAATCTATGTACACCAATTACAACAACCATACATGCACGGATTTATTAAATAATTAAAAAAATTAAATTTATCTCCATAAAATTAATTAAGCATAAATAAAGTCGTTAGTTATAATTATATTATTAAAAAATAAAAAAAGTCATGCAAACATTTACGAATAATAGATGCAATTAAAAAAATATATAACCATTAACTATTGATTACCTTATCGTTAAGTGTTGTTTTATTATTAATTTCTTGTAATTCTAATCTTAGACTAATAACTTCGTTTTCTTTTTGTCGTAAGTCTGCTTTCCATCTTGATTCTTCAGACTCTACATTATTTTGAAGATTATTAAGCATTCCCTCCTAAAAATAGAATCAAGTTTAAATACTTTAAATAAGTAATTTAATAAAAAGAAAATTAACTTAAATTTTAAATAAATAATAAAACGTACTGTATCGATAATAATTTGTTTGTAATGAGCAACCAAGCCCTGTAGAGTTTTATTTTGTTTTTCTAAATCAGAATTAATATCTTGTGTCTCAAGAATATTTTTGTTATCTTGTAAAACAACTTGTACACGTTCCTCGAAAATCTCCAGCCATTTATCAAAAGATTTTGCTGAAACGTTTATCTCGGGGAATATCCTTTGGAGCAGTGATTTTGTTATTTCCTGTTCTTTAGTTTTCACCATCTCAATGCTGTCCTGTAAATTTAGAAAGAATTTTGTTTTTATTTATTTTTTTTACCGATAATTATCGTATCACTATTGATGATTAATGTTTTAACGTGATAAAACGGTGACTAATGCGAGTAATCGAAAAAACCCAACATTTTAAAAAAATGAATAGGATTAGCGGATGGACATTAATCTAAATTTTTATTATTTGTATAAACTACGTCCAAGACTTACGTCACTGGATTTCCTGGGATCAGATTTAACACGCGACTCGGCGACTGAAAGAGCTTCCATCACTTTCCAGTTCTTAGTGCGTAATTCCTGTGACCAATCACGAAATAACAATAATAATAATAATAATGATAGTTTTGATGGAGAAGAATAAAGAAACAAGAATTATCTAAAGCAATAAATTCACAAAAGAAAGTAAAATAATTTTTGACGATGTGGTAAAATGATTTTTAATAAATAAAATGCTCGAAAAGTGATGGAAGACATGAGAAATAAAAACTGCAAACCATAAAATCAAATAATAAATGTATATAAATAATTAGCAAAACACTTACGTTGTTCTTTAATCGCTGGGCCTCCAAGTCCTCTTGCAATCGCTTAGCTGTACTCGAGTGATTATTAGCGTCGCGTTGCAGAGCCTCGACTTGAGCTTTAAGTTGATTAAATTCACCCTGTTTAATCTTCAACTCATTCTTTAAAGCGTCAATCTGGCTATTATCATCTTGATTCTCCTGTAAATGTTTAAGTCGCTCATTTTCTTCCTGCAGTTTAATTATTTCAAGGTGAATGGCGCTTGATTTTTTGTCACCATTCTGCAGTTGTTCTATTTCGGCTTTCAATAATTTAATATCACCACTGGCTTCTTGGTTGTTCTCCAGTGATTTAACATTTTTCAATTCATCGGTAAGATTCTTAACTTTGTTCTTTTCCTGTTTCAAATCTTCGAGAGCTTTAGCCAGCTCAGTACGTGCTTTACTCAATTCATTTCTAGCATCATTCAAAGCCGATTCCAAATTCTTAACAACAGCGCCAGTTTTTTGTCCTTCTACTTGAAATTTCTTAATTTCCTCCTCTTTATCACCCAATAAATTCTTCAAATTAGTTACTTCTATAGCTTCTGTTTTGGCTTCATTTTGGGATACAGATAAATCAGACTTAAGTTTATTTAATTCCGTTTGAACCTTGTTTAATTCTCCATTCAAAGCAGTAGCATCACCAGCCTCAGCCTTCACAATCTTCAATTCATTCTGAAGAGAGTGAACCTGCTTCTGCAATTCTTGCTCATGACGATGAATATTTTTCAGCCGATGATCAAGATCAGCATTGGCGCGATGTGATTCCTCGAGTTGCCGTGCCATATCTTGAATACGTATTTCCGCATCACGCAAATTCTGTAATTGTCCTTCCACGTGCATACACTGATCCTGCATCATAGCAAGCTGTTGTCTAAGAATTTCAATCTCAGCTGCGCTACTCTCGCAAGTCGCCTGAAGCTCTTGAGTAACGCTCATGTTTACATTCTGCAATTGCTCAATCTCAACGTGTTTCTGGGCCAGCTGTGCCTTTAAGGCATTCTCATTGTCACGCATTTGAGCAAACTGCATGTCTAGCTGTTTACGCTGAGCTATTATTTCCTGCTGAAGATGTCCTTGTGTCTGACCTTGATCTTCCTGCATTTTATGAATAATAGCGGCGTCTTCATTGACCTTAGCTTGTAGTTGTTCTATTTGACGGGCGAAACCCTGTTTTTCCGCGGCGTGAGTTTCAAGTATGTGCTGCATGCGAGTGTGAAGTGTTTGTGCCTCGGTAGTTTTGGCATTGAGGTTCTCTTCAAGTTGCTTAATGGTGCCAGAGGACTTGGACCTTTCGGAATTTAATTCAGCCCTCAGTTCTTTAACTTTATTCTGGAAAGTCAAACTGGCTTCATGCTCTTCAGACAGAGCTTTTTCTTTTTCACTCAGTTGTTTCTTTAATTTTATTACCGGATCAGCACGGCCCTCAGTCCACTCAGCAACCTCTTGTGGATTGTCCAATTGCTTGTTTAACAGCAAATCAATGAGAATTTGGATTTCAGAGCGACTCAATTCGGCTTTTTGTACCAACGGCATCAATAAAGACACATGAATTCCATCTTTATCGCCGCCTATAACCAGCAAACCATTTTTTTTAATATCATATCATACATTTAGAGCTACCAAAAATGTTTAGATTTAAATTAAATACTTACCAATTTGAGCGAGGATGTCATTTTTCTTTTTATTTTTCTTATTAGCCTCTTTATTAGACTGCTGAACTGAAATTGTATCTTTTGGTTGCATTTGCAGTTGCTGTTGTTGAATTTCTTTTTGTGGAGTTTCTTTAGATTCTTTTGGAAGGTGGGCAGTTGCTGGAAGCGACACTAAAGCTTTTACTGCCTGCTGCTGCATTGCCGAAGCCAATTCTTGTTTTTCGTCTTTAGATTCTTCCTTTTTTTTAACGGGCTCCTTGACAACATTCTTCTTAGATTTAGTCGGTGTTTCTTTTGGGGATGATTTTCCTGTCATCGATTCTGACTGAATCGCCTGCTGGAGATTTTCCTTCTGTTAAAGAATAAATAATTAATTTTAAAAAATTGTGGATGAAAAATTATTAAAAAATAAAAAAGATTAATAAACAATCAAGCGATGAAAAATAATGAAGCAGTGTATATATCTATCTATTAAAGTGGCAATATATTGTGCAGCAAGCAAGCGTTTCCGAATCCGTAACTTACACTTTGACTCCGAATTAATTCAAGGTCGTCCTTGGGGTGAATAACATCAAAATGATTGACATTTACCAACGGAGGCTGCGAAGCTATTGACTCAGTCACAACAACCGGTGACTCATCCTTATTTACAAGGATTGGCTTTACCTTTTCAGGCTTGCTCTTCTTCTTATTCCCCTTGCTAACATCCTGCATTACAACACAATATACCCAAATATAAAAGCCCAAGTGTTTAATAAAAACCAATTATTATTATTATGAGTATGTATGTATGTATGTATCAATGTACGGATGTGTGCATGCATTTATCGGATTATTAATATTTCATTATTATTAACATAATATAATAACTCAATATTTCATTGTCTTATCTGTAATTTTTTTTCTCAAACTCTAATTTTCGACGAATAATCTCTCGTTTTTTAATAAAGTTTATCGAAACGAAAAAGACAAAAAATAGCAAGTTAAACTTTGTCGAGATAATGGCATCAGGTATCTTATATAAAGAAAAAAAATTTATTTTATTAAATACCTCAAAAAAAATTATTATCTTTCGGAGAATCGGTGGCATTTACAAATATATTTGGATCAATCAAATCATTCAACGCAAGGACGCGGTACACTACATTAATTTAAATTAAATAAACATAAATGAAATGAATATTGGAGTTTTTTTTTTTGCTTTTAATTGACTGTGTACAAGAGTAAGCTGATAAATAATTGCCTATCGTGATTGGCAATTACATTTTTACAGCTATATATATATATTTTATTCTACTTATTTTTTATTCTAATAGCTGTTAGATAGAAATGTTTTTTGTTTCCTGTTAAAGCAACAAAAGAATGTAAGATGATATAAGTGTGTAATAATATATAAAAAAATAAATTCTGTTTAGCCAGGTATTTGTCATATTAAATGACCTACATGTGTTACATTTGATATGCAAACGAGTGTACTGTATTTCAGGCGTGAAATAGCCGGAGAACGGAAGATATTTAATGCTATGCAAAGTAATTAATTTATATATGAATAGTCCCCATCAGGTTAAACGATAGACAAATAAATATGTTTCAATATAAATATGTACATCCAAGTGGTACTTGTTATAAATTAAATGCATAAAAACTAATAAAATAAAATAATATTATTAGTATGTATAACTTACTTGAACATTAATTTCAGTGGGTAAAATTTGAGGATTTTCTTCAAACTGTACATGCTCCGATTTATCATCGGACTTATCATCTTTTTCATCTTTCTTCTCTTTAACTTTTTTACCCGTTTTACTTTTATGCTTTTTATCTTTACCCTTGTCTTTTTTACCTACAAATAAGTTGAAAACCAGAAAGTGATTATTTGTTAAATAAAACCGGGTTATACTATTATTTTTTATTCATTACTCTAGGTCTCACTGCCTCTTAATCATTTATCAAAATATATATTATATCTCCATCTATACACATACAGTTGGTAAACTATACAAGGTCTAGAATACTAATAATAATAATCTTATGTACCTAGTAGTAAGTCATCAGGAAGTTTACGTTGTTCGGCGATAGCTTCTTCGTAGGATTTTTCTTTAATACCAAAAATTGATACCAGCAAAATAACAGCCGCGGAAACAACCACCACACCAGCATAGATCAGTATCGTTTGTGAATCCATCGTATGGTATTAATCTGTCGAGAAAATAATTAAATAATCACAATATATCACCAGTATTACACAAATATAATAACAAAATAAGTTTAAAAATGAATAATTATCCGGAAAAAGTGGAGAATAAGTTACCGGTATGTGTAACAGAGTTACACTGCACGGATACGAATAGAATGGAGTAGTGTGTCGTGGTAAAAAATCACAGCCGGCTAAAGTACTCCAAAAAGAGTGGAGCTCGGGTGTAACTTTTATAAAAGGATATATATTTATTAAATAATCGGATATTAAGAGCGCAAGATGTGTTAATCTAATAATGTAAATGTTAAAAACTTACTTGTTAGTAAAAACTGTTAAACTGTTACGGTGTTGGTTGTCGTTGTCGTAGCCGTGGCCGTCGTTCTCGATCGTGGATGGTGGATATGATGATGAACTCTGTCCCACAGGGGGAATCACGACAGTAATTCACAAGCTAAGGTATGCCGTCGCGAGAAGTTATGGCTGCCGGAGAAAAGACAACCGAGCTACACACCACTACACAAAAAACAACGGTACTATATATATATATATATATATATATATATATATATATATATATATATATATGCAATGATAATCTGAGAATGTGTACATTTAACCACGCCTATCAAAATTATACTTATCCTCATTGGCAGACGCTGGTGCCACGTACGCAGACTAAGTAGACACTTGAGGATTGTTAAATTCCTATAACGCTATTTTTCTTATCTATTTATTTTAACACTTTTACCGGCTTACTTTGTTATTATTATCATTCATGAGTTTTATTGCAAGTTCATACAATGTTGCGCTTGCTTATCTACCTGACAATCCTTTTCATAAATTCTAAATATTTATATAATTGTTACAGACGTCTTTTTTTTTTTTTTTTCAATTTTGGTACCAACTAACTCAGTTGACATTTTTTCCGCGCGGCGGCGCTGGCGCTTATTTATACCGCGAAATTTAATTTGAATTTTTGTTTATTTATTTTTTTATTAATTTTTATTATTAATTTTTTGTTCATTACCTAGTTATTTTATAATTCATAAATTGAAAAAAAAAAAAAAAAAATTATAAATATCTAAAATTATTAAACAAATTATTACTCAAGAAAAAAAAATTAATTTATGACATTTAAAATACAAGAAATTATTATGATTAAAAAAATTTCATAATGCTGACTGCTTTCACCGTCAAGGTCATTAAAGACATTAAAATATCCGATGTTTCTACGACCAATTATTAGTTATGATTATTGTTGTTTGATTACTACTTAACCTTAATTAGTGTTTCGCTTTGCAGATTTTAATCCTCCATATTTAAAATAATTTTTTTCTTTTAGTTAAAAAAAAAAAAATATTATTAATTTATAAGAAGATATTTATATTTTATCAAATATTTTGGAGTGAGCGCAATTGTAAGTTATCCAAATAATCAAATGTGATGACGTGTATGTTAAATGTGTTGGAGCTCCACGTTTGTGAGCGTGGATGATGTAAATATGTAATCATTGCGCCGGCGTAAAAAAAATAATAACTCTAAAAAAATGATAGTATGAAATTTTATTATGATATAACAGACAATTGAGCCCTTGTATAAAAAATAATAAAATCTGTCGCAACAATGTGTTGACGATAACCAGTTGTTATCACCATGTTGACGTTTTATCTCATCAAGTAATGCTTGATAAAATCCGAGCTCTAGAAGGTCTTGTTATTATTTTTATTAATTTATCAATATTGATATTATTTAAGCATGAATATTAGTAGTTTATCATGATAATAATAATAATAATAATAATTTGTTTATCGTAAAATTGCCAGGCCAGAGCACCGATGAATCACAGAGGATGGTCAATTAGACACGGAGGACTATTAAGATCTGATAAGCCGACAGATAATTAAATGCCACGCGGAGTATTTCGAGCGTAGCGTAAATGAATATAGAGTAAAAAATGCGTATTAAAACAAGAGACTGGCTACGAAATACCAATAATAATAATAATAATAATAATAATAATAATAATAATAATAATAATAATAATAATAATAATAATAAACGAAAAGCTGGATACGGAAATGCGAGTGGATCAGAGAAATCGTCGAGAGACTTTTCGAGCAATTGTGAAAGTGAACGGATGGGTCAACGATCTGATGTGAAAGATCAGTGTTGCAAGAGTGGTAGAACAAGACAGAACCAGAACCAGCAGCACAACCACCACTACCACCAACGACAGCCTAGTACGATAATGAAATATTTTTTAAATGTCAAGTTCCTTATTCTCTTTGGCCTAGCGAGAGAGTTTCGTTCAGTTTATAACAATATTGTATGCCGATACCATAACTCGATTCCGATACTCCCACCATTTTAATATATACAACGCAACTTTTAAGACAACTCTCTTAACTACACTTACTTTTAACTCAGTTGTATTGTACCTTTTCAGGTATAAACTCGTTGCAATAATTATATATACTCTGTACTCCTAAATCTTAAAGGTCTAACTTTTACACTTACTTAATACTTTATTTCGTGTGATTGACAATAACTTAACATGGATGAAGATACAATTCGTGCTCAGCTAAATAAATACAACCAAAGTCATCTGTTGAATTTTTGGAATGAGCTGACAGAGAATCAGCGTGCTCATTTGATGGACGATATTTTGGAATTTAATTTATCAGAGATTACTTCCTACTTTAAAAGAGCCACCGAGTCTTCGGAAAATAATAATAAATTATTGGACGACCGAATCCAGCCGATAGAAGATGAAGCGATTGCCTCGGCTTCCAGTTGTGATGGTGCTCTTCTGAAAAAATATCAAGACATCGGGCTCCGCGAAATAGCTGCTGGACGGGTTGGTGTTCTTGTTCTGGCTGGTGGTCAAGGCACTAGGCTGGGTGTCACTTATCCTAAAGGAATGTACGATGTTGGACTCCCGTCACACAAGAGCTTGTTTCAGTTGCAAGCTGAAAAAATTAAGCGATTAGAGAATATGGCTGAAGAAAAGTATGGAAAATGTCAAGGGATCACTTTGTAAGTTATCACCATATGTTTTACGTTTTTTTTTTATTTATTTTGTTTATTCAGTCGGTTGATTTATTTATTGCAGATATTTGATGACAAGCGAAGCCACTCACGAGTCAACGCTTGAATATTTTAAGGAGAACAATTATTTTGGATTGAATAAAAATAATGTCAAAGCTTTCAAGCAGGGAATGATACCTTGCTTTGGATTCGATGGAAAAATATTGTTGGATGAAAAGCACGCGCTGTCAAAAGCCCCCGATGGTAATGGCGGGCTTTATCGCGCGTTAAAAGTACAGGGAATACTCCAAGATATGGCTGAGCGTGGTATTAACAGTGTACACGCTCATTCTGTTGATAATATTTTGATAAAAGTCGCGGATCCTGTTTTCATTGGCTATTGCGTTGATAAAGGAGCCGACTGCGGAGTTAAAGTTGTTGATAAAGCTGACCCCAGTGAAGCTGTTGGAGTTGTTTGTCAGGTTTGCTATCAAGACACTTTATTTATCAGATTAATTATTTAATAAAATTTTTTAATGTTATAAAATTAATTAATAGGTTGATGGCAAGTATCAAGTGGTCGAGTACAGTGAAATTTCGAAAAAAACCTCAGAATTAAGACGTCCTAATGGCAAGCTTGTTTTCAACGCTGGTAACATCTGTAATCATTACTTCACGCTCGATTTCTTCCGTAATATAGCGGATTATCATGAAGAGGAATTACCACTTCACGTTGCGAAGAAAAAAATTCCTTACACAGACAGTAACGGTGTGAGACATAAACCGAGCAGCCCTAATGGGATTAAGATTGAAAAATTCATTTTCGACGTGATCAGATTTTCTAAAAAGTTTGCAGCTTGGGAAGCGCCGCGAGAAGCTGAATTTAGTCCGCTGAAAAATGCTGATTCTGCTGGTCAGGATTGCCCGTCAACATCTCGTCGTGATTTACTAACGCTTCACAAAACGTGGCTTTTAAACGCCGGAGCTAAGTCTGTACAAGGGGACGTTGAAATCTCACCGTTACTGTCTTACGCTGGTGAAAATTTAAAAGACATTCCCGAGATTATACAGGGGCCAAAAGTATTTGAATAGTTATATACACATATATTATTGTATAAATAAATTTATAAATATTATTTCGAGGTGTAGAATTTTTTATATCATATTATAGAATAATTAATTGGTGATATTTACTTATTGACGAGATAATTTTACAAGTGTAGATTAATGTGCTAATCAATTTATATGCATACGTTGTTTTACATATTAGAAAGATATTATATATATATATATATATATTGTATTTAGAATATTTTTTTCTGTATTTTTTTTAATGATCAATGCAAAAATAAAAAATGACAAACTATATTATAAAGACTTTTTTTTTATTTTATTTAAAATTAAACAGGGGAATAAAATAATTTAGCTCCTGGAATTTTTAGAGTTAAAAAAAATATTATGTAACTAAGAAGAACGATTAGGATTTTTTTTTTTTTTTTTTCAAGTAATTTATAAATATTGTATTATTTAATCATCAGTAGGAGCTTTCAATATATATTTATCAGTAATTCCGCCAATTTTTAGTAATTCCTTAACAAGATCACTTGGTTCTAGCTTACGCGTTATCAAGAGCGTCCTCTGATGTTTAGGCCCGTGACTCTGTGATTTTAATCCCATTCTTCTTGCACAGCTGTGATACAAAATAATAACATTAAATTATAAAACATTAATGAAATATTAATTAAACAAAAAAATACTTACTCGTGCATAATTGAGCGTTCATCATTTGTAAAATCAGCAAATACTAAATAATTATGTGTATCACTCTCTCGAATATATTGAGACAGTGTTTGTTGGCATTTTCTCTTAAAAAGCCCCATATTATCCGAAGTTAATTTCAATCCAAATCCTGATCGGGAGATTTGTCGTTTGAGTCTACAAATAGATAAAAAAAAAGACATTAAAATTAGCAGTCACAACATTTTTTAATTTTTATTAACAAATAGATTTTTTCCAAAAAATTATTTTTAAGAAATTGCATTTTTTATTTTTAAAAATTTTTCCATCTCAATTTTTTTTTGCCATAATTTATTTCTTAAAATTATCAAATATTTGCTAAATTAATTTTCATTAAAAAAAATGAAAAACATGGATTAGAAGTACTTACGTAACAGGTTCGGTGATGCCTTGCTCGGACTTGCCGAGACCACCACCAGCCCAACCCATCAGCTTCATTAGCTTAGCTCCAACACCATCCGACTGAAGCGAATTATCATTGGGGTCATCTGCCTTTAATTCAGACTGTTTACCAGTCAGGTTAACTTTCCAATCGTCTTTTATCTGCAATTATAATAAAACAGCCAGTCATTAATGATCTTCTTCCGTATTTAATAATAAATCACTGTTTACTAGCAATAAATACCTCAATAGTATAATAATACTTTTGAAGAATAGCTAGACCTTTCTTAGCAGCGTCTGCTTTCGATGCTTTCTTTGTGTTGCCAGCTCCTTCAGATACTTTCTTGCCATTTATAAAAAACTCACACCGACTGCAATTAAAACTTAATTATCAGGCAAAGTAATAAAATTTAATGTTCAGCAATAATAATTAATAATTAATCATACCATTGAAGAATTTGCGCCATATGAAACTTCCATTCTATCCGCTGGCCACTCATCTTCACCGAAGAATCCAGCGTCATTTGCGGCGAACTGTTTGGATAATCCAGCAGAACTAAATTACCAAACGGCTGGCTTGTTATTTTCATTCTTTTACTAGGATCTTCTTCGGGGTCTTCATTGCATCTCTTACTCGTGGACGTTGATGCTGTGTCAGTGTGAGTGGTATTATGTCCTAAAATAATTCCCAATTGATTATTCCAAAATGTAATTTATAAATAAATATCAATGTAGTAATGATAATAATAATAATAATAATAATAATAATAATAATAATAATAATAATAATAATAAATAGTAAACTGATTTCTTCCAGGACTATATATTTTTCCAAGATAACTCACAATTTTTTGTACCTTTCGCCTTGGAGCTTGCAGCGTCGGAGGCTTTGACAAACGTCCTCTGCAATTTACTTCTTTGCTTCTCACGATACTCTTTAGCAACATCTTGCGATAATTCAGCCACCAAATCCATCGTTTCCTTTGGATACCTTTTTAATTAATAAAAATAACAATTAAGTTAGAGCAATCACTTGACAATTTTTTTATTTTATTATAAAAATTTATAAATTATTTTTAAAAAATTAAATTTAAATTTTTACTTGTCAATTATTTTTAATAAAAATTAAGTTAGCGACATTTGAAAATTTTTAGAATTTTTTTTATTGAAAAAATTATTAGAAAAAAAATCTTTTTAAATATTTTTTTGTTGCAAATTAATTAATAAAAAAAAAAAAATTAAAAACGTCGGCTAACTTTAGTATTATCAATTTTTTTTGCAGTAATTTATTTTTTAAAAAAATAATTAAATAGACAGGTTAAAATTTTATCAACTCAATTTAATTCAAGTTTTTAAAAATAAAGTAAATGAAAATACTTACTTGCATCCCAAAAGCTCAACATTAGTAAACACTTGAGCCAAACACACCAATTGGTCTTCAGGATATTTATCTTTGTGTGCTTCAAGGAAATTTTTCCTCAACTCCCAATGATCATCACACTCATACTCCAATTTATGTTTTTCAACATCCCAATAAGTATTAAAACTCGTCCCAGACATTTTTTTTTAAATTTGAAATAAAATTTTAAATATTTCTAAAATTTATTTAGTTTATTTTTTTTTTTTTTTTTAAATAAACACAACAGTTTATCTCAATAATTGATTATTTTGCACGTGAAATGCTCGTAAATCTTTAGTGTAAACTCAAGACACCATTGCAAACCTATCGTTACAAAACAATATTACTTTTGCCACCTACACGCTGTCTATTGTAGCTCAAACGAACAAAAAAAAAATAATGCACTTTGCTCAGTTGATAACTTCGACTGCGACAAATGATATTCACATATTCACAGCTCTTTTGAACATCGCTCTTGTTGAAATAATAAATTATATATAAATAAATATTGTTATAGTTATATAAATTTCACAATTAATCATCCATTTATCAGAAACATGACATAAGAAACAAGATGTAATTTTTAATTTTTAAAGATAAAATTAATAACTTTAAATATTTATCAAAATTGTGAGTGTTATGATTATTAAAATAATAAAATAATCTATGATAATTGATTAATAGTTTATCAAATACTCAAGAATATTTTTTCCGTAGTTTGAAAAATAAAGTGAATTGCTAATTTTTTACTAAATCGCTAGGTTATAAATTGAAAAGAGTATTTTGTGATACCTGAATGACAACATCTCACAAACTGTGACGTTTTCACCTAAATAAACATAGTGGTTGAATAAAATAAATAATAATAAAATGGTTAAAAACGATGATAAATTTAGTATTGAAGATGCTAAAGCTGTGATCGAGAGTGGCAAAAACCAATCGCATATAAATTACTCCTTATTAATATTGGAACAATGTCTTGACACGTGAGTATTTTGTCAATTAGGTCACGCTGATTTATTATGAGTTATGAGTGTCAATTTAGCAGACATCTGATAATTTTTTAATAATTTATAAACAATTTATTTGTTACAGAATAAATAGTTTAAAAAAATGCATATGGAAATTTTCACAAGTTTTTTCTATGCAATTTTTTAGATTTTATGAAAATTAAGTTAGCTACTGACATCTAAAAATTTTTAGAATTTTTTTTTTATTGAAAAAATGACGACAAAAAAACAAAAAAAAAATTTTCATTTGTAAAAAACTTTAAAAACTGTCAGTGCAATTTTTAAATAAGATTTTTAAAATTGTCAGCTGACTTCTAACTTCAGTATTATGATTTATTAACAAATGTAACAAACTTTTTACAGTTACACCGTGGATGAATTATTCCTGAGCTTCAATGGAGGTAAAGATTGCACAGTAATACTCCATTTGACAGCTGCCTTATTAAAATTACGTGGCTTGTCGCCGTTAAAGTGTCTTTACGTCACCGAGGATCCGTTTCCTGAGGTTACTTTTCTCATTTAGTCACTTCTAATTAATAAAAACTAAATGTATTTATTTAATTCATTTAACTTTATCTTCTAGATGGATGAGTTTGTCGACAAAGCTTCTCAGTATTACGAAATAAAATTAATCCGAAAGAAGAAACCGATAAAAACAGCTGTAGCGAGTCTTTTGGAGGAAGATAAAAATTTGAAAGCTACCTTGATGGGCATTAGAAAAGACGATCCAGGTTCGCAGTCCTTGGAGCCGTTTAAATACACCGACGCAGACTGGCCGAAGATCATGAGAGTCAGTCCGATTCTTGATTGGTCTTACAGCCAAATTTGGGAGTTTATTCTGAAGCACCAGGTCCCGTATTGCTCGCTGTATGACCAAGGGTACACCAGTCTTGGCAACAAGACATCTACCAGTCCCAATTCTCTGCTGCGAGACCCCGATGATCCAGCTCGTTACCTTCCAGCGTATAAGCTCAAGGACAGTTCTACTGAAAGAAATGGAAGACAATGACGCTTTTATTTTTAATTGTTAAATAATGAAATTTATTTATTTGATCGACTTTTTATCGGCAATTTCTTCAGAGATCTGATGTTTACCTATTTATGCAAAATAAAAGTGTATTTTCTACTTAATTAAAGATAATAAAAGTTTTATTGTTCAATTAATTTGATATTTTTCCTTCTCATTGGATTAAAAAGTTTGTAATTGGCGCTTTGACTTACGCCACCTGGGGTACAAGATGGTACTAGTATATTGGGAACAATTTTTTTTTTGTTGCCAAGAGAATGTCAAGTTAATTGTCAGATTTTTAAAACTAATCCATTGAAGAATATTTGTTATTTTTAATGTAATAATGGCTTATTTGCTTCATCCAGATTTTGTGCGATATGTTTGTGGTTGTGGATCATTGAAACCTATTTCTCGGATTTATTTTTGTCGACATTGTTTAAAGATTAGGTGTGGTTATTGTGTTTCTCATGAGGTAACCTGTCAATTAAAATTTAATCTTTAATTAAATCATGACATTAAAATTAGCAGTCTTTATTATTTTTTAATTTTTTTTGCAACAATTAAAAAAAAATAATTAAACATCTACTAAATTAATTTTACAATTAAATTAATTGATTATTCTGACAGTAAATTACTATTTTTTATTCAGGTTGACTCTCATTACTGTCCAAATTGTTTAGAAAATTTACCATCCTCTGAAGTGCGACTGAAGAAAAACAAGTAAGTGCTTCAACAATCATCACAGCATTCGATATTGACAGTTTTATTTATTTTAGATGCTCTAACTGTTTCGACTGTCCTTGTTGTTTCCAAACACTAACTATTCGCGCTGGTCACCCGCCAATAAGACCAGCTGCGACTGCCGAAGATGCTAAAGCAACACCTAAGAAGGTTTATTATTTGTGCTGCTCGTTGTGTCGATGGAGTTCTCGAGATGCGGGAATTCCCGATCAGTTTGTTGGTACGTACTCATTTATAAATAATAAAACTTCTTAATAAAAAAATATTAATTTTATTTTAGCGACGGGAGGTTGGCCGGAGCAAGAAAATCCTCACGCGGCTAGAATAACTGCACTGATTGACTTTCACAAAATATTGGCTTCGCGTGAGCGTCAAAATCAAGAACGTAAAAAGTTTGATCCAAAAAGAACTTCTCTGCAATTTGTAATATTTTTTTTTTTTTTTTAATAATTTAATAAGCTAATATTTATTGTAAAAAATTAACAGTAAAATTTTATTTTACATAACAAGTTTGGACTAACATCTGCAATGGCTCGCAAACGAGCTGGACTTCCAATAGTCTCAGAAGCTAAATGGCAACAATCCAATTTTCCTCAACCTTCTGTTGCTTCTGAAGAAGTCGAGGAACTTCCTGCGTCTATCTTTTCTTCTCCAGTTGACATAACAAAAAGTATATTATTTATTTATTATAAATTTGTAGAAAAATATTTTATTAAACATTAAATATTTTTGCTTGACAGTTACAACATTAGATCAACGATTGCAGCATCCAGAAGTCCAAACTGAGAAAATTTACGAGCTAAGACCGCAGCATAAAAAATTTCCTGTAAAAAGATCCCAGAGATGTCGAGCTTGTGAGCACAATGTCAGCAAGCCGGAGTTTTCGCCTCAATCCATCAAGTTTAAAATTCAACTGGCTGCTTTGTAAGTTTTTTTTTAGCTTAATTGAATTCTTGCAATGTTTTTATTAAATAAATAATTTATTTTAGCTATCATGTACCAGAAGTACGAATCGTTACTTTTGAACCTCTGGAGGTCGGCAAGCCGAGTGAATTGCTGCTAAAATTCTGCAACCCAACCCAACATCAAACACAAATAATATTACTGCCTGAAGATACTCCGACAACATCCACTACAACATCAGCGACTGGCGAGAAGGAAGAACTCAAACGTGAGAATATGCAATTGGTAATTTAAATATTTATTGAGCGAGACTCTTGGTAGATTTATTAACCAGCTGATTTCTAGGGCTGTGAGTCGCCGAATTTATTACCGTCTGTGGTGAGACAAGCGTCTGTACTGGAAGATCCAAAGCCAGTGAAGATCATTTCTGGAGCAACCATTGAATTGCCAACTGGTCCAGTGATTCTAGCTCCGCGCGACGATGCGGCTGAGTACGACGATACTGGAGATACACAAACATTCCCAGACGATCCCAAGTAAATATCTCTTAGTACTAATAAAAATAATAATAATAGTAGTGAGTAATTTAAATATTTTACGAATTTGCAACTATAAATAACATGAATTATTGAATAACAGATTGGTAGTCTGGCGAAAGGGTAACAAAGCAGTTCTGAAATTACGAGTAACACCTCTTGTTCCTGAGGAAGGCAAGGAGAAGGAACCAATTATTGTTGGATTAGTTATGCAGTACGGATATATAAATACAATTGCAACTCTGGAGCACAAGACGCCGCAAAAAGTTGATTTAAAAGTTAAATTATTTCTCACGCTTGATAAACTTAAGAAATGTTAATTTTAAATATTTATTATAAAAAAAAAATAAAAATATATTCAGCTGGCCAATTTTAAAACACAGTAACTGTAAAATTTTTTAGGTATTGCTGCATTTTTTATAACTTTTAGATCTTAATTTCAAGTATTTTTTCTTAAAAATATTTATATTTAAATAATTATAAAGTTAGCCGGCATTTTTTATTTTTTGATTTTGTTTAGTTAATATTAAATTAAAACTAAAAAAATTTTTTTGTAATGATTTTTTCAATGAAAAAAAAAAATTCTAAAAATTTTTAAATGTCGACTAATTTTATTGTCATTTATATTAAAGTATTTTCTATTGATAAATTAAATTTTTAATCAATTCGGCGAAAACATTTTTTTTTTAATAAGAAAAATTTTTAAAAATCTTAAAATAGTTACTGTGTTTTGAAATTGGGCCTGTATTATTTAATATTATTATTTTTTGTAACTTATCACCGTAAATAAACTGAATACGCAGGTCTTGATGTAATTTTTTTCAAAGATTTTATTTAAACCCAGAATAAGGAAATGGTAGAATAGTATAAATGGCTTAAAGACGTCTTCCACGACGACCTCCCTTCCTTCTGGTTGAGTCTGATGGTATCGGAGTAACGTCTTCGATTCTTCCGATTTTCATGTTGGATCTAGCCAAAGCGCGAAGAGCTGACTGCGCACCGGGTCCTGGGGTCTTGGTTTTGTTCCCACCAGTAGCACGGAGCTTAATGTGAAGAGCAGTAATTCCAAGAGTTTTACATTTCTCGGCTACGTCCTGATTTAAAAAAATAAATTTCAATTAATTTCTTTCTTTCTCTGTATTAATAATGACAATTGAATATAAACACTGATACGTACTTGAGCAGCCAACATAGCAGCGTAGGGTGAAGCTTCATCACGGTCAGCCTTCACTTTCATACCACCAGTGACACGAGCAATGGTTTCACTGAAAACAGTAATTAAAAAATGTGTTATTGATTTTTTTCCTGGAAAATTAAATGGAATTACTCAAGAATGGATAACTTACCGGCCTGAAAGGTCAGTAACGTGGACGAATGTGTCGTTGAAGCTGGCAAAAATGTGAGCGACTCCGAACACAATTTCACCTTCACGAACTTGGGGTCCAAGAGATACTTGGGCCTCTTCTTTAGGCGCCTTTGAACGTTTGGGAGCCATTTTTTACTGCAATTAAACAATTAACTTATTAATTAATTATTCACTGATTCACTTGTTAGTTTATCTCGAAAAAAATTTTTAGGTTAGTCTACACTGGAATAAACACATGAAACCTCGATGTCAACTTTTTATCCAGCCACATCCACACCAGTGCAAAATTATACCCATCAATTGAAATTATACATACATTTTAAGAAGACAAAGAAATTATTTAAATAAATATTTAATAACACCAATAGTTATTTTAATTAATAACAAATAAATAAAAATCTTACTTAATTCTCGACTTACAGCCTTGCTGCTGACGATATGGAAAAGACCGAGTATAGTCTTTATCCACTTCGAGCGCTGTTTAGTTCCTGGAAAGTGGCGCCGATGTTCAAACTACAGTTTGTTCAATCACTTCCTGTTATTAAAAACTACTTTATTATTCTATCTATCTATTTATTTATATTAATTCTATAGATATCTAATTTCAAGGTGACATTTATTTTTTTGATAAATTAATCAATTTTTAAAATAATTTATTAATTTTTTTATTGTTATTCAATTCAAAAAAAATAAAAAATGCGCGCCAGTTTAAAATTGAGTGCCCTTAGCGGTCATTTTTGTAACTATTCATTTTCAAAATTTTTTATTTAACTGTCAATAGTTATTGTTAATAATAATGATTTTATTAAAGTAAAAAATAAAATTTAAAATAATTAGTGAATCAGCTGATCAAAAAAGTGTCAAAAATTATAATTAGTGATATTATAATTAGTTAACTATCATATTTATTTTATTTATTTATAATTTAAAGTGAGTCATAAAAAATAAATAAGCAACTACTTAAAGGATATATGAAAATAGTAGCAATAAAATGTAATTACATAACTATTATTATGATTGTTATTGTTATTATTTAGTGTATGAGAACAATGGACTACAGAAAGCATGATGGAGCATGACTGATTTATTTTTTTTTTTTTTTTTTATATTCCTTGCTGGTATAGTCCAGCTGGCCTCTATGAATATCATGTACAGCCAATGTTTGTTCGGCAATGAGCCGAGTCCTCACAGTCGAAGATAATCGAAAATTAACCTGGCGCATAGCGAAAATTATCCGACCATGGTGGGACTCGAACCCATGCCTGGCCAGTACCCGTAGTTCGAAGTCAAGCACGTTAGCCGCTCGGCTACAAGTACTGGTTCATGACTGATTTTGTTTTATTTTTTTTTTTAGTGATGATAATAATAATAATAATTGAGGGTGATGGTGGGAGAGAGAGCTGGTGCTGCCATCTGGTCCTGCTGGAGACTCTCCCTGTCGTTGGCCCGGAGATCAGCAGGCTCGGTGCAGGAGCTCGTAGTGCTCGCCATATTTGTTGTTGTCGTCGATGGGGTAGGCTAGAGCAGCAAGAGAAAACTGGACTGAAGTGAGGCAGTGTGTGATCTCCCCGACACAAAGGAATTGATTCGCGAGCGAGTGATGAGTGAGCTGATTATTCATCGCGGATAACGACACTTGGTATATATGGATCCTCGGACATCGTAATCACTGTTGTGAATACACTGGAAAGACGATTGCGAAAAATAATAAACTGGCAGTTTGTGTGCTAACTATCTCAGCTGGCTTTTGGATTCGTGCTCTTTTTTTTGTTTCTTTATTGTGCTCTTTTTTCACAAGTTTTTTTATTTTATTTTCATTTTTCACAGGCCCCTCACTGTGTTATTACCATTTTAAAAACAAAAACAAAGAATATATTTATTTTGTAAAAAAAATAAATTACAACAAAACAGTGCTGAGTTTAATTGACAATTGGAAATTGCAAAACGGAGTACGATAAAGGTAAGATGTTTTATTTTTTTTTTTTTTTTTTTTTTGTTTAGGTTAAAATGTTTATTTAAATTATTAGACAGTTTTGAGTGTAGCCAACGAATTAAATGGGTTTAGTGAAAATGATGTGGGAGATAACAAAAACCGAGTGAATTTTAACAGAAATAAAGACAAAGAAGGATCGAGAAAAAGAGGAAGAGAGAAAGCTGGACTGGATGTTGTTTAAATGAAGATGAGAGTAAGAGAGAAAGAGAGACCGCGAAATCGAGAGAGAGAAAAGAGTTTGTGATTGTATTGGGGTAGGATGACAGGAATAGGAATAGGAATAAGAAACGAGTGTATGTGACCACGACACCACGAGATTTAAGAGGGGTGGCTCCCCTGGAATTACTCGGGACTCGGGGTCGTCGTACGAGTTCCTCCCGCGATACCAGAGTCTGTCGACCCGTCAAGGTACTGCCTGACAAATACTATTCTTTCATGGCGTCCCATATGTTTCTGGCAGACTTCACGGTTGTCAAAATTCCTGTCATTTCCTCGGCTCTACACTCCTCCTCTGACTAGGACATAACTCCAACTACAAAACTTAACCGTTCTACCTATATAATATGTTTGTAGCCTTCATAGTCATACACTCTCTTTTATTTATCCAGTTTCTAGTCTCCAGACAGCCATTTACTTTTTCCAATTTATTGCATTGAAGGTTTAGTTTAGTTTCTCCTTTTTGATTTTTCTTCACACGATTGGATCTATTCAATTTATGATATGAGTAACTAAACACACACATGTAGATAATTATCAAAAACATAGATCAGCTGTTTAGTCATTTGTCACAGATAAAATCTAAATTATTGATACTAATTTTTCTTTTCCAGACATTTTAATAATTTATTTAATAGTTTTGTCCTGGTGAACTTGGATTGGTTTGTTCTAATTGTTACTATCGATTGATTTTTAAAGATTTAATCAAACAGACCGAGAGAATTTCACATTGTATTACGGGTGCTCAGTTTTTAGTGAAAGTATATATATAATATATAATACACATTAACTTATGAAAATAAGGATGCGAATTGCTTGTGATTTAAGTGAAAGGTCTAAGAGTTATTATAGACATAAAAATTATTGCCAGTAGGATAATGATATTTTCAAGGTTCTACAACGTTGACCTGCTTTAGATTTTTATACATTACTTCCTGTGAAAAAAAAATATTTCAAAACATTTTCACAACGTCAACAACAACAATAACAGCAACAGCAACTGCAATAATAATAGTAAATTAAAAAATTTATTATCGTAAACATTCTCGCAACAGTTATATCTATACACTGATACAAGGATTTATTTGTATTAAAAAATATTTGTTAATAATTCACAAATCATTTATAAGAGACCACTTTTTAGTCCTTAATAAATATTTTTTGGTATTTAAAAAGATTTA